TGATCCAACCATTAAATGATCTTTTTAATGGTATCTTACAGGGTTTAGAGATTCCTCCTTCATGGCGTAGTGCTTTTATATCATTGATTCCAAAGGAGGATCAAGATCTTACTTTACCAAAAAATTATAGGCCTATATCTCTTTTAAATGTGGATTATAAGATATTTGTAAAAATCTTGGTAAATAGGCTTATGAGGGTGGCGCATCATCTTGTGCATAAAGATCAATCAGGGTTTATAACAGGAAGGTATATGAAAAATAATGTTAGACAAATTATTAATCTATTAGAATATTTAGACAAGAACAACCAAGTTCCTGCAGGGCTCATATTTTTAGATGCTGAAAAAGCATTTGATCAATTGAATTGGCATTTTATGCTAAGAGTAATGGAAGAAATGAATTTTGGCGAAAAGATATTACAAGCTCTTACGGTAATATATCAAAAACAAATGGCACAACTTATTGTTAATGGAGGTTTGTCGGAGGTTTTTACAATAGAGAAAGGTACTAGACAGGGGTGTCCTTTATCGCCATTGTTGTTTGTTTTAACACTGGAAATATTATTGATCAAAATTCGAGAGTCTCAGGAAATTAAAGGAATAGAAGTTAACAAAAAAGAATATAAGTTGAGAGCTTTTGCGGATGACTTGGTTGTTACTTTGTCGCAACCTGATTATTCTGCAGTAAACTTATTACAGTTGATTCATCATTATGGTTTGGTTTCGGGTTTCAAGATTAATGTAAATAAGACTAAAATCTTACCTAAAAATATGTCTAGTCAGGAGAAGCAGATTTTGGCTAACTTGACGGGTTTTGAGATTGTTAATAAGGTAAAATATTTGGGGGTGATGTTGTCTGTTTCTAATGTAAAATTATTTAAAAATAATTATGAAAGGTTGTGGGTCAGGGTACAGAAGGACTTGAAGAATTGGGAGAAGTTGCAATTATCCCTCATGGGAAGAATTGCAGTGATAAAAATGAATATTCTACCCAAGTTTCTTTTTTTGTTTCAAATGTTACCGATTTTGAAAAATGAGATTAATTTAAGTGAGTGGCAGAAGGGTCTTAATAAATTTATTTGGGCAGGGAAAAAGCCAAGGGTTAAGTTTAAAATTATGCAAGACTTCCGTGAGAGGGGTGGACTTAAGGTACCAAATTTGAAATTATATTACGATGCGGTGGTCTTAACACTAATCAGTGATTGGGTAAATTTGACAAATCCTGAGATACTTCATTTAGAGGGATGGGATTTACTTTATGGGTGGCATGCCTATTTAATATTTAATAAAAAAATGGACTGGGTCTTTAAATCTCATATTTTAAGAATTTCTTTACTTAGGATTTGGAGAAAATATTATAAAAGTGATTTTAAAGTTCCATTATGGGCTATACCTTGGCATGCGATAGAAGGAATAAAAAGAGGAGTAAAAATGGACATGGTGTCTTATAGTCAGTTACTTAGATGGGATGGGCAAAACTGGCAGTTAAGATTACGGGAAGATTTAGCGCAAGAAAATATTATTTATTCTTGGTTTCAATATAGGCAACTAGTAGATAAATGGAAGGTGGATTGTAAATTGGGTTTTCTTAGAGAAGATGGAAATCTTATTAAGCAAGTCAAGGATCAAAGACAAACCCATATCAAGAGAATTTATGGGGTATTAGTTGAAATGGACTCAGAAACGGAATTAATTAAAGATTGTATGATTAGATGGGCGCAGAATTTTGGTGTCCCAGTCTCATTGGACATTTGGGAAACCATTTGGGTGAGAAATGTCAAATTTACACAAGCACAGAACCTTAGGGAGAATTTTTATAAAATGTTTTATAGATGGCACCTTGATCCACAAAAAATGTCTCTTATGTACCCTGACGTGCAACCCAAATGTTGGAGATGTGGTTATAAGGATGCTTCCTATTATCATATTTGGTGGTCATGCAGAGAGATAAAAGCATTTTGGATCAAAATATGGTGGAATATCCAGAGAATTTTTAGAAGGAGGGTAAAATTTACTCCGCAATTATTTTTGTTAGGCATTGTTATAGATTGTGATACAAAGGAGGTTGTATTGATGTTAAATTTGATTACAGCCGCTAGGCTGTTAGTAGGACAATATTGGAAGAAGGAATCTTTGCCTACATTGCAGGAATGGTTTCTTAAAGTAGCTTATCTGGCGGAAATGGCAAAGATTTCGGCTTTCTTAAAGCAACAAACGCAAGAGAAGTTCCTTGCTGTTTGGGACAAATGGATAAAATTTATACAATTTAGATTGGGTATACAAAAATATCACATAGCTTTTTTATAAGTTTTATTTTTATATATATATATAGATATTTTTTTATATATATATAAATATAAATTTTTTAATTTAATTTTTTATTTTTATTTCTTAATTTTTAATTAAGCCTATATTCTGCTCTGGGAAGCTCAGGGGGGGGAAGGGAGGGTTTTTGTGAGGGGTGGGGGATGGGGTTTTTTTTTTTATATATATGTAATGTTTAGTTTCTTTTTTGTATATGTTGTCTTTTGTTTTGTATTGTTTTTGTCTTTTTGTAAAATTTATAAAACTTTCAATAAAAAAAATATTTAATTTTTCAATAACTTATATTTAAAATTTAAAATATTTTATAGATTTTATTCCCTTTTTTATTTTTATTTTTTATTCTTATTATACTTTCTTTTATCTTTTTCTTCTTTCTTTTTATTCTTTTTTCTTTCAAGTATTATTCTTTTGGTATTTATGTTTTCTTATACATATATTATTGTTAATTATTTTATAGTTTGTTTATGTATTTAATATTTAGATTTATTCATGGTTTATATTTTCTTTTAGACTATTTGAAGAAATTTTAATTAAGCCTATGTTCAGCTCTGGGAAGGTCGGGGGAGGGAATGGGAGGGTTGGGGAGGTTTGGGGATGGGTTGTTTTGTTTTTGTAAAATTTTAAAAACTTAATAAATATTTACAATAAAGAAAAGTCTTAGGGCATCTTAAAAAGGCTTAATTTATATAGCATAATATTTCTCAACCATGTCAGCATTAAAATGTGTAGATTTCAACTCCCCGCAAGGCTGGCTGTGATGAATTCTGGGAGTTGAAGTCTGCACCTCCTAAAGTTGTGAGGTTGAGAAACACTGCCATAAGTTTTAATGGTATCGATTTTAGTGTGACTATTTCATCAGAGGCATGAAATATTATTTTACAGCTTCTGATACAGTAAACTTTAATTAAAAATACACATTTATGCCATATTAAATTAATTCTTATTTTTTACCACAAGAGTTCCTGGTTTTGGTGAAATATTGTTACTGCTTTGAAAATCTGCACAAATAAAATTTTGACTGCTATGGCAATGGTACTAATTGAGAAAAAGGTCAATACATGATGATATCCACCATGTACATTTTTCAATAATTACAGTTCAGTGCTGAGCCTAGATTAAGCTTTTTCTCCTATCTCCTGCTTAATGGATCACTTGAAATTGATCATCAAGAATTTACAGATTGGACAATGATAGTTTAGAAAAGAATGGCAGAACAAATTTTATATATATTGGTGTTTTCAGCTTCGTGCTTTGAGGAGCTGAAAACACCAGCCTGAAGATGACGAATGAGACTTCGTCAAAACGTCGCCAAGACACTTCCAATTTTACACCGGAGAAAACCCGAATAACCAAAGACCTACATATATATATATATATATATATATATATATATATATATATATATATATATCAACCACAATTATATTATTTTTATTGGTATATACATTATATGCTCAGATTTTGCTTCAAATTAAATTAATTTTTGTGAAGTTGTATAGAGTAGTGGCCTTCTGCATCTACTTGTGAAAATGTAATTTTCGTTTCATTGCTTACTTTTTATCACATTAGATAACAAGAAGAAAAGTGAAATATTGTGCTAATTATTTTATCAAAGAAGACACTAAGGAAAAAAAAACCTGAGCAAATTTTACCCATTACATCAGGGTTAATTCCAACAGATTATATCTATAAAAATTGCTAACGTACAAATTGTACTAAAGTCAGTAGTAGAAATAAATCCCATTATATTATATAGTAATGAATGAAAGTGATAGAGAACTATATACAGATAATCCTCATTTAATGACTGGTCTCTTAATGATTTTTCAAAGTTATGATGGACCTCAAAAAAAGCTATTTACTGCCGGTCCTCAAAGTTACAATTGCCATATACACACCTACAATCATGGGATAGCATTTTGAGCATTTGACAGCTAGTTCGCCTTTACAACTGGTTGCAGCATCTTGCAGTCACATGACCACAATTTGTGACGAAAATGCTAAAAACATCCATTCTGGATTCACTTAATGACAATGTGGTTAGCTTCAGAAATTTCCCTTATTGTTATAGATCTGTTCATAATCTGTCTTTGATTCTCCATAGACTTTAGTAAATTTTGTATTTTTACATAATCAGCTATCATTTTTCCAAGGGAATGTCATGTCCTATGTACAAGAATAATACTGATAAAAATATTTTTATATAGCCACTGTTAATATAGAATTCCCCTCTTGAAGTTTCACAGAATGTAGACTTGAAGAGGAAGGAAAAGTGACTTTCGTTGTTCCAAATTAAAATTAGGTAAAGTTTGGTTTTCTGTGGTGCTCATCTCCATTTCTTAGCTGAGGGAGCCACCATTACCCAAAGATGCTTCCATGGTCACAGAGCCAGTATAGCTGTACACCAAGGTGCATGGAACGCTATTAGCTTCCCACTGATGTGGTACCTATTTCTCTACTTACATTTGTGTCCTTTCTAGGTTGGCAAGAGCTGAGGCAAGGATTGAGAAATCGCCCTGTTGCGCAACGCTCAGGTCCTGAACCCAGGCTGTGAGCTTTCTAGCTAGCAAGCTTAGCACCTTTAATAACTGAGCCATCGTGCGATCTTAAAAATTAGGTACCTAAATAATTATTTTACGGCCACAGTTTTTAGGTAAATAAAATTTATCTTAATAGATCTTCACAAAGCTGTGCCAACTATGAATGGAAAATCAGAAAATGACAACAGTGGAGCAGAATCGGAGGAAGAAGCACAACAGGAAGAATTGAGAGATGTCCAGCAGATTGATAAAGGTACATATTTATTTCTAAATAGCATATACATTTTCACAGATTTTTGATAAAGCTGCTTCTCAGGACAGAAAAAAAAAATTGGCAAACCTTGTTAGGAAATAGTTGTGTTCTCCTAATAATGCGAAAGCATGATTCTTATTTATATTAGATTTTCAATATTTTAATTTGTAGGTCCTAGTTTTTTGAGGGACTTTCTGTCTTCCATAGTGTCTGTCCAGCTGATCTGAAGTGGCTGAGTTGGTGGTCTCTGAATTCCTTTGATTAAACAATGTCAGGGATTCCAGAAGTTTATCTCCATGTGAAGTTTTTACCTATAATATGTAATATATATAAAATAAGTCCAGTATTATAAAGAACTAGTTTGGGTTTATTATCCAGTGAAAATAAGCTACATAAACCCATTTGATAATTCTCAGCCCTTAACTTCTGAAAGAGAGCCTATTTGTTAAAGATTATAAACCTAAAACCAGGAGACTGTGGGTTCTAATTCCGCTTTAGGCATGAAGTCAGCTTTTTTCTCTCAGCCTAGGAAGGAGATAATGGCAAACGCTTCTGAAATATTGCAAATAAAAGTGCAGGGATAATAATGAATTGAATAAATGAATAATTCAGAATGTTATTCTTTGTCACTTATTTATGAGTTAATCTCATTGCACATAATAAAGCATGTTTCAAATAAGCAATTATAGAATTGGGCTATGTAGCATGAATATCAATACATTATAATGTATTGAAAATGAAAGAATGATTCATTTACATCAAATTTAGACATTGTCCCTCTCACTGTCTCTGGATGGTTTATAGGTAAAAATCATAAAACCATAAGAAAACATCCTAACACAAATAAAAACAAATTTAGAGACAGTTAAAAGGTGGAGGGATCATTTTCAAGCCACCCGCTAGATCTGGAATTGCATGCTTCTCTTCAATCCTCATGCCAGTTGGCAGAGCCATCTTCATGCTGTTCCAGAAGGCCGTAAAAGTGGGGACCAATGTCACCTCTGAATGCAAGTTTTTCCATAGAGTAGAGCAGCTCTCTTTCTAGATCAGTGGTTCTCAACCTGTGGGTCGGGACCCCATTTGGGGTCGAATGACCATTTCACGGGGGTCGCCAAACCACGCAGTCCATCATTTTTTTCCCCTTTTCCCTAGCTGTCCTACTCCCTCTTATTGGTGGCCACACCCACTTGGGGGTGACCACAACATGGGGAACTGTATTATGGGGTCACGGCGTTAGAAAGGTTGAGAACCACTGTTCTAGATGCCACCAGTCAAAATTCTTTAACCAAAGGAGTCTGTAACACACCCTTCCTGCCTAACCGGTGGAACAGTTTGAAGTAATTGGGACAAGATGATTCTTCAGGTAAGCTGATTCTATGCCATGCCAATTGAGAAATCTTTTAATGCTTCTAAGTAAATCCTGTAATTCTATACTTGGGTAGTTGGATTCTTGGAATTCAGTTGCACCTAATTACAAAGATTCTGTTCCCAGATAAGTTTATAGTGTAACCACTTTTTTTTCTAATGACAATTAAAATTTCAGTTTTCCTGTACAAAATGAAAATGTGTTGACAGCAAGTTATTAGGAAAAATCAGACCCATGGGTCAGCCATGGAAGTTTAGAGCCAATTTGGATCATTCTCATGGTCTCTTAACCCAACATTTGAAGTTGTTGTGGGAGAAATGGGAAAAGTTGCTATGTATGTTGCCTTGACTGTCTGGAAAAATTGGTGGCACGTATGTTGTTAGATGTAATATATATATACATAGTAGATTGATACATTTTTAAAGAACAAGCTGTTTTAAGCACTTTTATTATCAATGATCATTTAGATTAATTTGTGAAATATTTAGTTCATAAATACTGTATGTATTGGTCAACAATTAAAAATGCACTGGTAGTCCTTGATTTGCAACAGTTTGTTTAGTGACCATTCAAAGTTACAGTGGCACTGAAAAAAGTGATTTATGAACATTTTTCACACTTATGACCATTGCAGTGTCTCCATGGTCATATGATCAAAATTCAAACGCTTGGCAATTGACTCATATTATGATGGTCACTGTGTCCCAGGATCATGTGATCCCTTTTACAACCTTCTGACAAGCAAAGTCAATGGATAAGCCAGACTCAGCTAACAGCCATGTTACCAACTTAACAACTTCAGTGATTCACTTAACAATTGTGGTACAAAAGATCATAAAATGGGGCAAAATTCACTTAACAATTGTTTTGCTTAGCAACAGAAAGTTTGGGGTCAATTGTGGTCGTAAGTCAAGGACTACCTGTATTTGTAAAAATTCAGTATGTTATAATGAGGTTCTTTTTGTAAATTTATATGGTTAGGACTTTCAGAAGAAGATATGAAACAAAATTCATCCCCTGATAAGGACTTAGATGGTGTGGTTGTTAATGGCAGTTGTAATGCTGTTTCTGACATTGACTTGAGCAATGGCATCCAGACCAAATCTAACTTGAATGGCATCAGCGTGGATGATGAAATAAAGAAAAATGAAAAGTGCCTTGAGTTACCAGTCATCCCTAACTGGGATTCTATTCATCAAGGTATGGTCTTCAGGTGCTTTTGTTATCCAAATCCACATTCATGTTTGCCAGTGTGGATAATTTTTTAGAAAACATTTCCTGTTGGGGCTGCTTGGTTTGTTTTCAAGCACTGATGCATATAGGAGAGCAATCAGTGGGTTGGTGCCCAGTTTAAATGAAGAATTAATTTAAATAGCCTTTCATATAGACATGCCACAATACCATAAACACCTATTTCCTTTTACTGCAACCAAGTAGTCCTAATTTCTGATTGTTTGTTTTCCTGCTTGAGTGGGAAAATTAATATTTCCTACTTACTTTTCTGTCCGCTTAAATAATGGGCAAATAATGGAACCTCCTTAAATTTTATCATCCAAAAGAGGGTCAGCTTTTTGTTGAAGCTGATGAATATTTTTTTCTGCAAACACATTTATAGATATTATATACAACCCTATATTGAAGAAATATGGTAAAAGTGCTTCAGGTAGCCCTTAATTTTTTTTGCCCTTTCAACAATGTCAACACTTATGGAAGAAAAGGAGGTATAAAAATAGAATAGTGTCTACATATAGAATATTTTATAGTGTATATCAATAGATATGGCAAAATGAATCTAAATTATGACAAGTGTGTATGTGTAAACAATGAAATTGGGAGCATGGCTTCAGATGGAATAAAGGCAAAGATGCTCTCAAATTGAGCATGGCTTTTTGTGATGGCATGGGCCAACCCAGTCTTTTCTTGCCTTTGGAATAAAGTCTTTTCCAAAATGTCGTTCAATTTCTCAATCTAGCATATTCCCAACTAATCTGATTATGGTTACACACCCAGACCAGATTGGCCAGATTGACTAAGACTGAGGGAGCATATCTTAGATATTTATCCAGAAGCCTTGCATGTACAAAGAAAAAGACTGGGCTAACATAATTAAGAATTATATATTTAAAATGTGCAATTTGTTTTCCTATCATGTAGAGAGTGAAAAATCTTTTAGATGTTAACCTTTGATTTTGCATACACACACACACACACACACACAAACATATCCACACAGATATAAAAATATATAACAGCACTGTTTTATTGTGAACTATCATTGCAAAGAAAGATTATGTCTAGCTGCTCTTTTGCAAATTATTCAGCTTTTACAAATTGCTAAGTTAAAAATGCTAATTCTGATGTTTGATTAGATAGTTTTACTTTGATATTTAAGTATTACGTCACTACTGTTACTAAGTATTTGGTCATGTATACACAGGTCAAAATGAAGACACCACTGAAGTGTCTGGAATTCAACTCTTGACAAGTGATTCAGATAATGAAATATACTGTGATTCAATGGAGCAATTTGGACAAGAGGAGGTAAATTTTGCAATCTGTTATGTTGTAATATAAAAAAAATCTTTACATAATAATCATTCTACAAATACACAAAATGATTTTTTTGACTGTAAACAGTAACCATCTTATATTGTCCTTCTGGTCAAAGAATTCAGGTCTGATATATATCAGTTTCAGTTTCTAATAAACAATAATAAAACTTTTACAAGAGTCTGGATAGCTTTTGCATCTTTCTGAAGCATAATGTTAGTTTAAAAAAAGTAATAGTTTTCATCTATGCACCTTTGCATTTAACTTGCATTTAATTAAAATCAAAGAGTAAGGGAGAGGCTGATAATTAAGATCACCTTATAATGAGAGAGATATAGATAGTTCTTGATTTACCACCACAATTGCTTTTCCATTGCTAAGCAAAGCAATTGTTAAAGCAATTGTTAAAGCATCCGATTTCATGACATTTTTTGCCATAATTGTTCAGTGAATCACTGAAGTTGTTAAATGAACCATATGATTATTAAGTGAATCCAATTTTTCCAATTGACTTTGCTTGTTGGAAGCTGGCTGGGAAGGTTGCAAATAGCAATCATATGACCCAGTAATGCCACAACTGTTGTAAATATATGCAAATTGCTGAGTGCCTGAATTTTGATCACATGATTGCACAACTTTTCTGCCATGATACCTGACTCATAGAAAGTTCTTCTCTCAAAAATTAAATTAGTTCAATTACTTTTGATATATTTATCATAAGGCTCTCAAGATCTGATATTGTTATTAGGCCCACCTGGGGCTCTCAAAGAATCAGTGAAATGCTTAGATCTCTCCACTGCTGGGCTAGTTATTTTTATCCCCTCTTCAGCTAGGGTTTGTATCTATTTTTATAATATATATTGTTAATGTGACTTTTTACATTTTTTTAATCTGTGGTTTTTACATGTGATTCTACCTGTTTGTTATGCAGCAGAGACTCCTTTGGGTAAGATGGGCAGCTATACAAATTTGATAAATAAATAGTGCCTTTTGCTCTTATAAACTTATAGATCCCAGAAATCAGCTCATCAGTCAAAGAAATTTCCAGACATCCATTAACTTTCTCAGAAGTAGATCATAATAATCTTATAGAAACTTCTGGTTTTCTTGAACTTGGAAACCACAAAGCAGAAAGTATAAAGGAAACTGCACTTGAAGGAAAGGGTGAAGTCAAGTGTGGCGGTGAAGATGGCAAAGCAAATGATGGAGGCCCTCAAAAAGAGAAGAAAAATGGTGAAAAGGTTGATTTCTATGGAATTCGAAGGGGAAGAGGTATTATTAGAATACTTATTTTGTTGGAACGCTTGCATAAATGAGGCATATATAAAGTCATTCTTAACATTTCTTATAATAATGGTTTTGTGCATGGTTGATGCATAAATTATATTTATATATAATACATATTACGGCTGGCACACTTTGAAAATGATATAGCTGTGGAACTCTCTGCTATTTATTAAAGCAGCCACATCTTTATTAGTGCAAGTCTAAAAAATGGCACTGCTTTAAGAATCCTTTTAAAGTAGTGACATCTTTTTTCACATTTTACTGGAGAATTGGAAAAAGTTAGCCACTTTATGGAAAGCAGAGAGGCGTCTGACTTTGCACAGTGTACAAGCACCATTAAGTCTTTTTGAAAATATATGTAGCTCTGATTCATTTACTTTCCTTCTAAAAGTATTTTCCCTTAATTTAGGACACAGAATGTATCCTTTAGGAGATGGTGCCCAAGGTGGACAGATGGGCAGTGGAGGAGATGGAGAACGATGGGGTTCAGACAGAGGACCACGGAGCACCCTCAATGAACAGATCGCAGTTGTACTCATACAATTGCAAGAAGATATGCAGAATATTCTTCAGCGATTACATGCACTTGAGACACTCACAACTACACAGGTAAATGTATGTGGATAAGTATCCAAGGAAGTCTGTCTGTCTGTTTATCTATCTATACAGTGCTGTACAGTTCAATATGAGGTATTTTCAAGGCAGGTATATCTCTGAATATCTCCCTGAATTTTTAAGAAGTTTTCCAATGAAGGCAATACATTAGAAGCCCTGCCATTATTGAATTTGGTACGGAAATGTCTCTGGAACAATGGGTCATGGATTGTCTAGTTGATTATTAAAACTCTCATGTGTCTTTGACTGTGACCATCAATTGGGCAAAACAGTGCTTCATAGAACAATTTTTGAATCAAGATACCTCAAATGTGCTTACACAATGTGTTCAAAATTCAGGAACATCATTCATGTGAGATTAAAATTTAGCAAATCTGTAGCTGCTTCAGTGCTGCCATGCTGATGGGCTACTGCCTGCAGATTTAGTACACTGGCCCCATCCTAGCCCTCTGGGGATTGGGTAGATTGGTCCCATCATTGACTGTCAGAGGACAATCAAGCTGGTAGGAAGTTGCTTCTGCTACAACTACTTTTTGGCCCTTGATCCATTCTGTTTCTCTGTTTAGGAAAAGAAATACTTCTAAAACCCAACATGACATGGGTTATCTAGCTTTCTTAAATTTTAGAAGCTTATTAGCTTATTAGCTAAACTATTTTTTTACTTTTGAGGGAATCTACTTCCTACTGATATCCACATACTCCAGCAAAAGGAAAATAGAGACAGAAGACATTTTTGAAAGACAGGGTTTTTTTTTACTATTTACTATTCTAATTCTTTTATGAACTGCAGTATCTAAACTATTTAATCAAAGTGAAAAAAATTAATTTTCTTATAGTTTATTTTGTTACAGAACTATCTGTAAGGTCCAGACCAATTGGAAAAGGAAAAATGGAAAAACATTTCTGGAATGTAATAGAGACAAAGAGAGAACAGGGAAATTCACATAAGGAGGCAATTAGCTATTCCTTAAGCTAAATTCTTATATGTCATATTTTTTAATAAATGTGAGCAGAAACTATATCTGGACAGATCCCAAAAGATATGCCACAATATAAAGTTTTAATTTGAAACATGTTTTTAAATACTTTGTTCAATTTGGTTTGTGTTTGTAGGCAACACTACGTTCAAATTATCAGCCTGAGGCACCTGTTAAGGTAGGTTTTTATTTACTTCTTAATATATATATAAATCAGTTTTGATCTTTATTGTAATTTTCTTAAATTGTACAGGCTAGAATGGAAGAGTTTTTTTGCACCACAATATCTAAGAAACTATTTTAAAAGCTATTTTAACTATTTGAGAAGACGAATGTGTTTATTAATAATTTCACCTAATTAGAGGTAGTTCACAGCTTATGACCATAACTGGGACTGGAATTTTGGACCCTAAGCAATGATGTCATTAATGAGTCATCAAGTAACTGGACCTGATTTGGGGGATATTTTTACATGATCATTAAGTGAATCTGGCTTTCTCAATTGATTTTACTTATCAAAAGCCAGCTGGGAAGAATGCAAATTGCAATCATGTGACTACAAGACTTTGCAACTGTTATAAATGCAAGATGATTGCCAAGCAGCCAAATTGTGATCACTTGTCAACAAGGGTTGGTATGAAAGTTATAATGTTTGCGGATAGGTCATAAGTTACTTTTTCTGAGGCTGTCATAACTTTGAACCATCAATGAATAAATAGTTGGAAGTCAAGAGCTATATGTACAAAGATTGCATGCCAGCATTCAGACAGAATGGCCAACAAAAATAAATGAAACAAAAACACCATATTGAACTTTTTAATATATGTTAAGAAACAAATTTGTGTTGCTACGTTGGCAGTTGCTGACAGGTAATTTAAATCTTTAAATGTTTCTGAATGTTGATGTTCTTACAGAGAAAATACTCAAATTGCAGGACAATTTCTATAGTCTTATATTAAGTATAATTTTATTGTGTACATAATATTAAAAAATCTCTTCAGAATAACGATGAAGTCTAGGAGAACAGTGTTCACTAGTGATAACATGTGAACCAATTATGGTTGCAAATTTATACAGTAATCCTTAAGTTTTTTTCAGCACAACAATTATTCCAAAGTCTTGGGAGGTGATGGTCATCTTGGTGGAGGTGTTTTTAAATAGTTGATAGGCATCTTATTTATGATTTTTGATAAATAATATTTAATATTTAATGTTGAAATTTTTATAGCAGATGCTGCTTTAATATTTATTGGTGAATATAAATTTTTTATGCCATTTAGAAACCATCATGGTGGTCCTTTGAGATTTCTCCTGGTGCTTTAGCCTTTGCTGTTTTATGGCCCTTTGTTGCCCAATGGCTGGTGCATTTATATCTTCAAAGAAGAAGAAGGTAAGACAAAAGTATGGATTGGAGTTATATACACTTTATGTCTGAACCTTTAGGAACAACCTAATTCTTATCCCCGAGTCTTGGGAATGAAAATAAGACATTCTTTCACAGTAATGCATGTTTTGTATACAAAAGCTTGGCATTTAGGTCTGGGAGAAATATGCTTTCACAAACCTTAAAAGATCAATTCCAGTCAATCAGTGTTATGCTGGAAAACACCAGGCACCACCTAGCTAAGATTAAATTGAGCCATCTAATAGCAACATCTTAAATCCTCTTCTGCAAGAAGTACATGGAGAATGGGCAGTTGAATAATCTTCGAGTTTCATTACATTGTTTTTTTGTATGCTTCTTTCGTTGGATTTATCCAGAATAGGAGGCAAGTTACAAAGGTGGAAATAAAGTATAAATGTATCTAAAATAATGAGAGTGTACTAGTACATACTATAGATGTAATCTATTTGCAGATTTTATAGGTCATATTAACATTTTAATGAATACTGGTAATGGAAAGCATTGTGTATAGCTGAAGTGTTGGTTAGGACTGATCTGAAATAATTTCTAATCTATTTTCTACTACAGAGGAACACAGGGTGACTCTGGGCTAGATTAGCTTAGTCTTTGAATCTAACCTACCTTCTGGTATTCCTGGTGTTCCTGGAAGAAAGTTGCATATTGATCTGTCATCAACACAATCCTGTAAAAGTTTCTACTGATTCTTAACACATCAATCTGTTTATTCCAAATTTTTATTTCTTTTTATTTATTCAGCAATGTTATGCCAGATCAATCAGTGAAGATAATCTTCAAGGGTATTCTCTCCATAAAAACCTGATTAGAAACAAGAGCAATTGCCTGAGTTGTGTTAAAAAAAAGTCAAGATCCAACTTTGGGATCAAAGCATTGAACTTTTGTATATGTGTCTGTTTTAAAAGGGCAAAATTTCAATCAACAGGTAGTATTCAATGGAACTACAATTATAGGGAGGGAAGCATGCAATAGGGTATCCCAAGGAGCCCAATATCTTCAACATCTTAATGAATAATTTGGATAAGGGGATAGAAGGGAAACTCATCAGATTTGCAGGCCACACCAAGCTGAAGGAATAAGCAATATTTTAGAAGATAAACTCAAGATCCAGAAGGATCTTAACAGATTAGAATACTGAGCCTGTCCAACAAAATCGAATTCGTTGGCAAGTAAAATATTATTTTTCACTTGGGCAAGAAAAACGAAATGCACAGGGATAGAATAGGTGGCATGTGGCTCCATAGCAGTAACTGTTGGAAGAACCTGGGAGTTCTAGTGGATAACCAGTTAAGTATGAGTCAGCAATGTGCTGCAACAGCCAAAAAAGCCAATGCAGTTCTAGGCTACATCAGCAGAGGAATAGTACTGATTTAACATGACATGTTAATATTGCTGACAAGTCTGACAAGAACTAGGGATGATACAATAACAGGCTTCCAATATTTTATGGGTTATCAGAATGAAGAGGGGATCAATCTATTCTCCAAAGCTCCTGAGGGCAGGGTAAGAAGCAATGGATGGAAACTTATTAAAGAGAGTTCCAACCTAGAACTAAGGAGAAATTTCTTGACAGTGAGAATAATCATGGAATGGCTTGCCTCCAGAAATTGTAGGTGTACCAACACTGGAAGATTTAAAGAAAAGATTGGATAGCCATTTGTCCGGAATAGTATAAGGTCTCCTGATTGAGTAGGGAGTTGGACTAGAAGACTTCCAAAATCCCTTCCAATTCTGTTATTCTGTAGAATGGAATAGCACAGAATTTGCAGAGGGTTTCTAGTGTAAGTAGGGCAAGAGTTACAAGATTTAGTTCTACTTGCCATTCCTGATAAGCAACTTTCTCAGCTGTGAATATTATTGTTATTGAGCAATGGAGCAATAGGCTCCCCCCCCCTCTTTCTGAATTCTTTTTCGCTGTTCATCTTACTACCCTTCCATCCAGCCAGGCCCTTCAGTATCAGTCCATAAAGATGTCTAAAATAGGAACAAAGCTTCAAAAAGATTTTTGTTATGTGTTATTGGATCAGTTACTTAGAAGTGAAAAATAACAAATCCTTATCAGACCTCTGGATGCTGGTTGGTTTTGTTTTTGATTTTGGCAGATTATAATCATCAGCAATGAGGAAGGATTTTCACAAGAGCGTAGAATTCTTGTTTTGCTGTATGAAGAAAAGGGTATTCTTACAGATACATATTTGAAATTACTTTATAATCAAAGAAAATGCAGAATTATCTAGTATCCATCAATCTTTTTAGGGAAGCAGGGGGAGAAAAATTCAGACATATTGGTTGAGTTCAAACTACATTAATCTGAATGCAGTTTTTTGTTTGTGGCTATAAATGTATCCAGTGGTTGAGACAAAGCAAAAGCTACTATTTTATAATACTCAAGGAATATTTGTGAGGTTGATTGGGAATTTAAAAGAGCAATTCACCTTTTTAACATAGTATCTTCTTTCCCAATTCATATATTTATACAATTAAAAATAATTATCGAAGCTTCCCAAATGAACATATAGGTCCTCGACTTATGATTGTTTGCTAAATAACTGTTGTTATGATAGACCTCCATGAGGATATTTACAACCTGGTTCTGAAGTTCCAGTGGCTGCCCCCCCAATCATGTGACCACAGGTTAGGCCTTGGCAGTTGCTCCACATTTTCAGCTGTTTGCAGTGTCCTGCAGGCGCGTGACTGTACTTTACAACATTTTTGTCAAACCTGCCATTTATATCTAGTTTTCAGCAAAAATGCTCCATAGCTATCAATTGATTCACTTAAGGACTGCCGCAGTCACTTTACAATTGCTGCGTTCATTTCTCCACAAAAAAGTCATAAAATTGGGGTTGGTCATGTAGGTGACCCATTTTAGGACTGTTCATGACTTACGACTGTAATGGGCAGGCTTTAGTATGATTGTAAGTCAAAGACTAGCTGAAGATACAAAAGAAGAATATACATGAACCTGAGAGCTTTATTAAATATTTAAGAACTTCAGCAACAGAAATTTTGTTGCAAAGAAATATTTTCTGTTGGAAGATTAAAATGCATAAATTGAACTTTACATATAACATTTAACTTTATTAATTCTGTGCATACATGTTAAAGTCCAGACTATAAATAATATCAATTGTCGAGCTCTCTTATTTTCAAATAAAAGAGAAATAAAGGGGGCACCTTGCATGAATATTGAGGAATAATCTCATTGGAAGAAATATATATTCCTGAATTTCAGTAGAAATGCATGCACTGAAGTTGATAATCACTGCCCCTTCTCTCTTTCAGAAAACCGAACTGAGCCTTCCATTCCTGATTTTATGTAAGAACTATTAGGATCGGAAGATTTTGAAAAATACCGTAATTAACGCAGGAACTATAAGCTCTGGAATAATTAAAACATCCTTCGTCTTTTTCCTTTACATTTTTTCTTTTTCTTTTTGCACTATTGAAGATTCTATACTTGAATGAGACATCTTTACTATATTTCTAATAGAACAAATACAACTGTCCTAAGCAATCATATGAACTACAATTATTATGACAATACTTTCCTGATGAACAGTTTGTATAATGTCTTAGTTTTCAGTTTCTACTGGGGGAAAAAAAGTCTTTAGAAAGGAGAAGAAAAATCCTTGAAAGCATATATCCCGATTCCCCAAATTCCATGGTACTGTAGCTGTATAATTTGTTTTATAATGCCAGCATTTTGGTTAGACACGCAATAGATTGAGTAAACAGTACACCCCCCCAAAGGCTGAAGTATGCAGAATTGCTATGATTGCATTTAAGAGTAATGTCTAATTTCTAACTGCTACTATATGTGATAACTTTTTAATAAATAAGATTAAATGCTTGAGGCTGTTGATTTTGCTTTCACAGGTGCCACCAAAATTATATATTTTTAAAAGCCACAAAACTATGCATAGCCATACATCTCAGTGTAAGAATACACTGAGATCTACACCAAACGGAGTCTCAAATAGAATGATCGATTCAAAATATTTCATTGGAAAGAATGCTTGATAAAGAATAAAAACAGCCCTGAAGATACTAAATTCAGTGCAACTTGAGGCAAGTTATAAACACTTATATTGAATAAAGAGGCAAGTACTGTCTTTATTCAAAAAATCCAATTTAACCAACACTTAGTCATAGGTTTTGTATACTAAAAACTTACCCTATGATGCTGTTGTGCATTTGTAAAGAAATACTTTGTAAATGGATACCAGTGGGAAAGGGTGTTACCGATAACAGCAATACCTTATCTAAAGCTATGCAAACAACCCTGCTGTTAAGTTACTCCCACTGACTAATCAGAACTGGACAATTTATTGTACTGTATCCAACACTGGAAGAAATCTATCAAAATGAATAAGACTATGATACTTGCAGGCAGATTCACTTTTTTTTTTAAAAAAAAATTGTAATATGCCTTGTTAAGAGCATATACAACTCCTTTTGACTAATTTGAACATCAGAACGGCCACAGGAGGTACATCCCACCCGCCAGGGGATTTAAACAAACCCAGGAACCCTAAATTTGGTGCCATTGTTATTCAAAAACTAGGTGCTGTGTTCTCATGACTGTTCATCACGGTTAAAACATCCCCTGAAGTTTGAGCTCTTTGTCCAGAAGCCTCTCAAATTTATAAAACAGTAAATCTTTTAGCTATAGTCATTGCTAAGTCTGCTACAGTTGCAGATTTAATAAGTTTTGAATGTCACTTTGAGGAAAGGTATTGTAAATACTTCAAACCAGATAGATCTTTGTGCAGGTGCATCTGCAGAATATGGTCAGAAAAATTAAGGTGGTGACCGTGTAAGTGTGATTGAAGTTCTGTTCACATTTTCTATAAAATTAGGCAGAATTTGGATCACCACTGGCCATTCTTTTGATCACATACTCCTGCCTTCCTGCAACAGTTGATTATAAATTCAATCAGCTTGTATAGATAAGAATATTCTGTGAAGCCACAGCTGGCTGTTTCTGTTGTTTGCATCTTGCTAAATCCAGAACATCCCTTTTTACTGTTAACAGGTAAGCAAAATATTTAACTGTTACAGTAAAATTTTCCTGTAAACTTTTAACTTTTCCTGTTTTAATGCTTTCATAGTCTATTTTTTGCTCTAAATTGCTTTAAGATCATTGTAGCGTTATCATATTACACTTCTGCCTATTGATCAGATTTATATTGGGATATAACAGCTGTTGTATTTTCTAAATACAATTAGAAAGATAGATGGAAAACAAACAATAAAGGTTAAGTTTTTTGTTTGATATGATATTCAGCTGTTTTAAAATACAGCTTAAGGTGATTGTCTCCTGATTATGGTGAAAAAGAAAATGAACTGAAGCTGATATGTTTCTAGATAATGATGTTCTATCTATACCGTAATTGATGAGACTAATGGGAAAACATTCTGCTCTAATGTAAGGTCTCAAAATTTGAAAATCAACTTTATATCTATTATATACAAATACTGTAATTGCAGAAGTCAAACACTTCTGCTGTATTATATAGAACATGTTTTTACAGTTAAATTTTAAGATAAATCACTTTAATATATTGTAAAATAACATTTAAAATAAAGGAATGATAGGAGTATATTACCCTGTCTTATGTAATTGTAAGAGTCAGTTTTGGTGAAGTGATTAAAGCACAGATTATACACTTGTGGACTGAATTCTAATCTTTCCTTAGGCACAAAAAATTCTTGCCAAGAAAAATGCAGTAGCCTGTCCGGTCAATTGCCGGAGTAAAATGTTGACAAAAGCACTCACACCCACAAAATAATAATTATATACCAGTTTGTATCATAGGCCAGCTGGAAACTTTAAGGGAAATGCCATGACTCCCAGATTAATAATGAACTCTGATATAAGTCTTTATATAAATGCATACATTAAGAGTTTAAATGGAGACCATATCAAGTTAAATCTCAACAATCAACCTACTGACAATAAAAAAGCATTATAGAGTTCCAGTATGAACCAAGAAAGGAGGGGAGAAAAAAAGCATTTGAAAATTGTAGAAACAAAATTCTGTCTCTCCCCAAAATTGATAACAGAAGCATTTATCTTTGGTAAAATCAGTAAATATTTCAACAGGTAATCTGGATATCCATTTTTAATTCATATACAGTAGCAAATTGACAAAGTGGATAAATTCTAACGATAATCAAATTAATGGACATATGCCTAATAGAAGACATGCATCAGATTTCATATGTGTCCATTAATTAACATTAGAAATGAAGAATAAGTGATTAGGAAATATTATGGACAGGATATTGGTTTTGTAATATATAGACTTATTTTAAAATTGTGTTATATAACACTTATTATTAATATTTGCTTTTTTGGCAGTGAAAGATAACAAATTGCCAATATTTTCTAGGTGTCCATAATATAATTATTCTACTCAGGGCTTTTTTTCTCATAGAAGGCCCAGAACGGAGTTCTGGCACCTTTTTTGGATGGAACCTTGTAGGGTAGGCAAGGCGGGTAATATGATGTGTGTGAGTTCCGGCACTTTTTTTTTTTTTTTTTTTTGAAAAAAAAGCACTGGTTCTACTTATAGGACGGAGAATCAGATATAATTATCATAGGTAATTTATTGCCAGGAATCTATCTTGGTACAATAGCTAGAGAAAAAGGGTAAATATGCTTTTAGTTACTTGAGAACATTGAAGAGTTATCCATTAAATTTCAGAAATGCAATCAGACCAACTAAAAATATAGACTGAAGCTCTGTTCCAAATTGATCATGTAGTACTAAAAGAATCTTGCTACCAAACAGTTAAAGTAATCCAGCACCCATCCTAAGGTCCTTCTAACATACAACTGTTACTAAACTCCTTTTGGCCCCCTATAGGAGACATGGAAAAAAATCGAGAAATGTTTCAATGTGAACATTATTTAAATAAATTCATATTTACAACAGTAATACATTCTAAAACAAGGAAACTTCAGTACTTAATTCAAAAGAGAATTAGAAATATCCACTACAAAATATATACATATTTTTTATTTTCAATGTTTTAAATACATAGTAATTGAAATATCCCACTATCTTTTCTGTTTCGCTGAATTGCAGTTATACTACATTGAATAAGCATGCATAAAGATTCTTTTTTCTCCATACCGACATGCAAACTTCTCATTTTCAATATTTAAAATGACAATATAATTTATCCAAAAACATAGCAATAGTTAAACATTTTCTTGCTTTGCTTGTGCCATAGTTTTCATAGATGAATTAGGAATGAAAACATTGACAATAAAATTATAGAGACCACTGGGGAATAATGACAGTTTAAACAGCAGGATAACTAACACATAAATTAAATGCCTGAAAACAGACTAATTTCTATTTGGATTGCACTGAAAATACAGAAAGACAGCTCCAGATTGACCTGAAATCAGTTTCAAATATATTTTAATATTGAGGTGTCATGTTATAATTACAAGCACAATGGTAATTGCATTGTATGCATTTAATTTTCCCTGTTATAGCTGATAGCAAAGACAGTCATTTCCCCATATTTGGAAATACCCACAGCAGCAGAAAAGTAATTTTTCTTGAGTAGGAAAGTATTATACCATGATTACATTATGTAATACAATTAATATAAAGTGCAGTACTTGAAATAAAAATTTAGGTCAGAAGCTTTTTCTGTATACTATTTCAATATAGCCTTTACAGAAAAAGACTGAGTTAAAAGCAGATCCTTTTCTTAAAAATGAAATTGTTACAAAATAAGTGTTAGGAAGTTTTGTCATGGTAAATATGAAATCCTCTTCACATCTCTTTTTCTTTGATCCTACAGACTAAATCCAGACACTGTTAGTTGCTGAGCATTATTCCTCGCTTCAAAATAGGATGTATCTGTTTCATCATTTGGTTGAGGTATAAAGGGCATAGTCTGATTGTGAAGATTATCCCAATCCATACCATGAAAGAGGGAATGAAGCTTCAGCTCTAGAATGAATAATTAAAGAATGTGTTAGATTTAATTCTATGCCTTTCTCATTCTAATACATACTGGCTGGGGAATACTGAAAACTGAGGTCTAGATATCTTCAAGTTGCCAAGGTTGACAAACACTGTTCTAATTATTTTCATTTATGATTCTGGATGTTTTCAGAATTTAGTCTAAATTAATTACCTGGACTTAGTCTCTCAATAGTCTCCTGACTAAAGTTTAAATTAAACACAACTGATAAGAATGTTTACCAATTTTGCCCTGTATTTAGATTGTGAAATGATACCTTAACAAATATAATCTCTTATCAAATGCTTATGTCAGTCCTTCTTTCTTTAACTTGGAAATTCCTGGAAGCAATCCTGCAATTTCTGAATTTTATAAGTCCGTGGTGGCAAACCTATGGCACATGTGCCACAGGTGACACGCAGAGCCGTCTCTGTAGGCACGCGCACCGTTGCCCCAGTCCTACGCCTTCAGCTGGGCTTTACAAAACTTTTCGCTTTAAGCCTCCGCCGCCATGTGCAAAAAAAAAAGGTTTAATCAATCAATTTCAACTTCTCGTGGGAAAAATAATAATAATAATAGTAAAGTTGGAAGGGACCTTGGAGGTCATCTAGTCCAACCCCCTGCTCGGGCAGGAAACCCTACACCATTTCGGACAAATGGCTGTCCAGTCTCTTCTTAAAAACTTCCAGTGTTGGAGCATTTACTGCTTCTGGAGGCAAGCTGTTCCACTGATTAATTGTTCTCACTGTCAGGAAGTTTCTCCTTAGTTCTAGGTTGCTTCTCTCCTTGATTAGTTTCCACCCGTTGCTTCTTGTCCTGCCTTCAGGTGCTTTGGAAAATAGCTTAATTCCCTCTTCTTTATGGCAGCCCCTGAGATATTGGAATACTGCTATCATGTCCCCCCTTGTCCTTCTCTTCGTTAAACTAGACATACCCAATTCTAGCAACCGTTCCTTATATGTTTTAGCCTCCAGTCCCCTAATCATCTTTGTTGCTCTTCTCTGTACTCTTTCTAGAGTCTCAACATCTTTTTTACATCGTGGTGACCAAAACTGGATGCAGTATTCCAAGTGTGGCCTTACCAAGGCATTGAAGAGTGGTATTAATACTTCACGTGATCTTGATTCTATCCCTCTGTTAATGCAGCCTAGTACTGTGTTGGCCTTTTTGGCAGCTGCCGCACACTGCTGGCTCATATTTAACTGATTGTCTACTAGGACTCCGAGGTCCCTCTCACAGTTACTACTATTGAGCATGGTGCCACCTATGCTGTACTTGTGCATTTGGTTTTTCTTGCCTAAATGTAGAACCTTGCTTTTTTCACCATTGAATTTCATTTTGTTAGTTAGTGCCCAGTGTTCAAGTCTGTCCAGATCCTTCTGTACCTGAAGCCTGTCTTCTGGAGTGTTGGCTATTCCTGCCAGCTTGGTGTCATCTGCAAATTTGATGAGTTCCCCATCTATCCCTTCATCCAAATCGTTGATGAAGATGTTGAAGAGTACTGGGCCCAGAACAGAGCCCTGGGGCACCCCACTACACACTTCCCTCCATATAGATGCAGTTCCATTGAGGACCACTCGCTGAGTACGGCCGGTCAGCCAGCTACGGATCCATCTGGTGGTGGTTCTGTCTACCCCACATTTTTCTATCTTGTCAAGTAGTAGGTTGTGATCTACTTTATCAAATGCCTTACTGAAGTCCAAGTAAATTATGTCCACAGCATTCCTCTGATCCACTAATTTTGTCACTTGGTCAAAGAATGCAATAAGATTTGTCTGGCATGATCTATTTTTGACAAACCCATGTTGGCTTTTAGTAATGACTTTGTTTGCCTCTAGGTGTTCGTTGATTCGTTGTTTGATTATCTTTTCCAGGATCTTCCCAGGTATTGAGGTCAGGCTGATAGGTCTGTAATTTCCTGGATCCATTTTTTTTCCTTTTTTGAGGATGGGAACTACATCAGCTCTTTTCCAGTCCTCTGGTAGTTCCCCTGTGTTCCAGGATCTTTGAAAAATATAGTTCAGTGGCTCCGATATCACATCTGCCAGTTCCTTGAGAACTCTGGGGTGTAATCCATCTGGTCCTGGCGATTTGAACTCATCTAGGCTGGACAGGTGCTCCCTAACCATTTTCTTGCCTATCTTAACTTGTGTTTCTGTTTTGTTTTTTATGGCACTATTTTTGATAGGTTGGTCTGTTTTTTCCCTTTGTGTAAAGACAGATGCAAAAAATGAGTTAAATAGTTCTGCTTTCTCCCTGTTGCTTGTCACCTTCTTGCCACTTCCACCCACTAATGGACCAATCATTTCCTTCACTTTTTTCTTGTTTTTTACATGTTGAAAGAAGCTTTTTTTGTTATTTTTGACTTTGGTCGCAAGCCTTAGTTCATTTTGAGCCTTGGCTTTCTTCACTTCATCTTTGCAGGCTCGGGCTATTTGCTGATATTCTGACTTAGTTATGTTCCCCTCTTTCCACTTTCTGTACTTGTCCTTTTTATCTTTCAATTTGTCAGAGAGTTCTTTATGCAGCCATGCTGGTTTCTTTTGAGAGCTGTTATTTTTCCTCTTTGTTGGTATTGTGCTAGACTGTGCTTTTATTATCTCATTTTTCAAAATTTCCCAAGCTTCTTGAGTTGTTTTCCCCTTGAGGATTCTCATCCATGGAATCCTTCCCAAGCCCTCTCTAAGTTTATTGAAATTAGCTCTCTTGAAGTCCAAGACTCTAGTTTGACTGTGTTCTATTGGTTGTGCTTCTATAATGTTGAATTCTAATATTGCATGATCACTTCCTCCCAGGGTTCCTATGGCTTCAACACCGTCTATCATTTCATCTCTGTTAGTGAGAATTAGATCCAAAATGGCTAATCCCCTAGTTCCCTTCTCTACTTTTTGGGAGACAAAGTTGTCTGCTAGGTTTGCCAGGAACCTGTTTGATCTTCCACTTGGTGCGGAGTTTGTCTCCCAGTTGATGTCAGGGTAGTTAAAGTCCCCCATTACTATTGTGGTGTGCTTCCTACATACCTTAGTTAGCTGACTAGCAAAAAGTTCATCTATTTCCTCTGTTTGGTTGGGTGGTCTGTAGTATACACCTATGGCAATGTCATTTCCCCCCCCTTTTATATTGACCCAAATGCATTCAAGAGAGTTTTTATCATTGTTGTACTCTATTTCTGTGGAGATGTAGTTATTTCTTATATAGAGAGCAACTCCACCTCCTCTTTTATTTGGTCTGTTTCTTTTAAATAATTTAAATCCCTCTAGCTGTGTGTTCCATGTGTGAGTTTCATCCCACCATGTTTCCGTAATGGCAACAATATCGTATCTGCCCTCGTTAACCTGAATTTCTAGTTCACCCTGTTTGCTGTTCATACTCTGTGCATTGGTGTATAAACATTTGAGTCCTTTGTGGGTGGCCCTGTGTTTCCTTTCTACATAACCTGTGTGGTGCCTGAGTTCCCCTATTGTCTTACCACCTATTTGGTTAGTGCACTTTATGTGGCACTCGCTATTAGAGGCTTCATTTTGATTGGTAGCAAGGTTGGTATTCTTGTCCACACACACATCTATGCTACATGCACTGATAGCCCTATAGTTTTTAAATTGCCGGGGACAGGGTTGTTCCGTATCAATTAACTCCCTGTCCCCGCTGTTTAGTTTAAATTTCCCTCCAGAAAATCTGTGAATTTATAGCCGAGTAACTCAGTCCCTTTTTTTGATGGATGCAAACCATCTCTTTTGTACATCTTTTGATTGGACCAGCTACTGACATCGTGACTAATATATCCGAAGCCTTCCCCTTTACACCACTCCTTTAGCCACATATTGAATTGTGCTATGCGCTGGCCTTTTCCGTTTTGCTCCTTATACACTGGTAAAACCTCTGAGAAAGTAAGCCTATAGCCTATTCTGCTAAGTTCCTTCCCCAAGCTCTGGAAATCATTCTGCACAGAGAGTACATCTTTTTGGGACAGATCATTAGTGCCAAGATGTACAATAGCCTCCACATCACAGTCCTTGCTGCCATTCTTGATTATTTTAGAAATACGCTTCTTGTCCCTACTGGCAGTAGCACCTGGAAGACACCTGATCTTACAAAGTTGGAATTGATTGATTGAACTTTTTAGTCCCACCCAGTCGGCTATTATCATCGAAGCCATGCCCACCCAATGGGCCACGCTCACCCAATGGGCCACTCCCACCCAGCACCCGATATATAAGTGGGTTTTGGGTTGCAGTTTGGGCACTCGGTCTCTCTTTATAGGTAAATAAAGCAAAATATATTTACAAATATAATAGTAAAAGAAGAATCTCATGTGATATTCTGAACTCAAGGAATAAATAAAAGTTTGTTGTACTTGAACAGATTTTGTTTTTTTACCTGTAAAGTATTACACTGAACAGGTTTGTGATCATTTGTATCACTAGGTTTTAAGGACAGATGGTTTTTCCTCCAAACCCTCAATGGTTTATGAAGAGTTCCATGCCCACCCCTGCCTCATGCAGACTGAAACTGAATATTAAATTATAAGCTTCTAAGTTACTGTATGAAGAAGAGATAACTAACCCTTGAGTCCAGCTCGCTTAGCACTGTCAATGGTTAAAAGAATATCAATGGCATTCTGAGCATTATCTGACAACTTTTCTTCACCTTCAGGCCATGGAATATCTGGAAAGACATGCACACACAAATAAGTACCACAGTATTTATGCTAAATAAGGGTTCTTTGGATTTGGTTTGATGAAAGTGATAATTACCTCTTTTAAGAATATTCTGGAATACTTGCTGTGGTGTTTCATCATTGAATGGTGGAATTCCAGTTAAAAACTCAAACAAGCAAACCCCAAGAGCCCACCAGTCTACAGCAGCACCTGAGATAAAAGCAGTTCAAAGAAATTAACACTGATTCCAGGAGATGCATTAAATCAAGTTGTAGTTACAGGAAGAATTCTAGGAAGATAATGTGTAATAGCTAAAATCTTAGATAAACAGCATTTGTCTTTTATGCACTTCTTCCTTGCTGTGTTAGTAATATAGTAATATTTGTCTAAATGCTTCATGACAAAGGCATATTGATGTGAGCCATGTGACTTCCAGAGGCCAATTGCAAAACAGAAAGCTAAACCAAGCATGCTGAATTTCTCAGACTTTAAAGGGAAACTAATTACTATAGCTAGATTTCACATAGCAAATATTAAACACAGAACTGTGTAATAAAGATTTCACTTTGTTTTTTAAATCATCTCATTGTTTTGGAGAGCCATGAATTCTTTAAAAATTATGTACATAAAATAGTATCCAGAGAAGCTTGGATTCAGTAACAGGTTTTCTTGGGACTATATCTAGTCTTTACTCTGATAGCTTTCAGATCATGAAATTCAGTGTTGCAATCAGAAGCAAAAGCAAGCAAAATTGCTAAGGCACCAAAGCCACGATTAAACAACATGCATTTTCCAGTTGCTATATTACCAAAGCCCCAGACAGCTCATTTTGTTGGAAGTGAAACATGCATTTGCTATGCCAAATTATATGCAGTGCACATACAGATATATCACCTTGATGTTTCAGAGATAAAGGTCAGATAAATTGGACGCACAGCTAAAAACCTTCAGTAAGTTCTATGAAGAGTCACCTCAAGAATGGGCAGCAATCAAATCAAATCAATAAATACTAAATCATTTCATTCATTGTATGTGAGGATAATTTAAAGCACTCACATAACCAAGAAATATGCCTGAACCATCTCAACCATATTTATTTAGAAACCACCCCCCAAAATCAAAAAGCCATCTAAATATTGGAAGCCTAGTCCTATAAATCAATTTAGTGTTTAATTTTTAATGAAACTGTAATTGGTAATCACTGAGGCCAGGTGTATGGCTCTGAGCTCCAACCAATTGATATTGTGTTTCAGGTCTGCTTGGGACCATTGTCCCTGAGCCAATTGAGACTGCAGGTGTGCTCCCCAGCCAAACAGACTGGCGTCTGTCGTAAGCGTGAGCCGGGTGGGTTCCTTGAAAGATGACCCTCTGGCTAATGCTTGCGAGGACCACCACTGGAGAGATCTGAGGGGGAACCCTTACCCGTTGGAGGAGCTGGTGCCCGACCTTTGGAAGGGGAGAAGGAACCATTGGAGGTTCTTGGAATGCAGTCTGGCCCAAGGCACTATCGCAATGCGTGAAACCATCTTTCCCAGAAGCTGGGAAAGTAGGACCAGTGGTACTATGTGTTCCCTGCGTACCCTGAGGACCAGATTCCGAAGGCTGTCCTGACGCTCCTGTGACAGGTATACTTGGCAGCTGAGTGTGTCTATGACGGCGCCCAGGTGTAGAAGTCGGGTAGAGGGAACAGTCTGACTTTTGTGAAAGTTCACTGAGACCCCGTGTTCCTGAAGGATCCTGATCGACAATGTCAGATCTGACTGGGCGGCTTGAAGGGAGGATGACTGAATGAGAATGTCGTCCAAATAACACTGGACACGTACTTGCATCATCGGGACGTGTGCAGCCAACGCTGCCAGGACTTTGGTGAACATTCTTGGAGCTGATGAGAGGCCGAATGGAAGAGCCCAGTATTGGTAGTGATGGCCTGCATAGCAGAACCTGAGGAACTGCTGGTGTCAGGGAAGATTGGGATGTGGAGTTATGCTTCCGTGAGGTCTATGGACGTCAGGAAGTCTCCGTTCCTTACACTGCCCAAGATGGACTGAAGGGTTTGCATCTTGAACTTTCGATATGCGATATGGTAATTTAGCCCTTTGAGGTCTAGAATTTCCCTCCATTCTCCCGAGGTTTTGGGGACCACGAAGAGGATGGAGTAAAATCCCCGCCCCGTTGGCCGGCTGCCACAAGTTCTATGGCCTTTATTTCCAAGAGATGACGAATGGCCTCTTGCATGAGGTCGCTTTTGGTGAGGTTCTTTGGGGGCAAGGAATGAAGCGCCCCGATGGACTGGACATGAATTCCAGGGACAGACCGTATCGAATGGTCTGACGGACCCAGGAGTCTGTGATGGTGGCTTCCCACTGGTGGGCAAAAAGTGCCAGCCTGCCACCTATGGGGGGAGCAGCTCAAGAGTCACTTGGATCTTCTATAGGGGTGCCCCCCCCTTGAAAAGGCCACTTACTCTGGAATTGTTCTCTGGGTCTAGGACAGTCCTGTCCAACGACGATCCTGTCTGGCCGTGAAGGGGCGAGGGGGCTGAAAGGAGCCTGCACCCATTCCTGGATGAAAGGCGTACGGGTTGGCATGCCTGTTGGTCCGTCTGTTCAGGTGGGTCAACACCTTCTGCTTGTCCTTATTTTCAGTCAAATGAGCCAGAGCCTCTCCAAACAGCTGATCACCTTGATAAGGGGCCGTGGCTAGGCACCACTTGGATTTTGGGTCAGCTTGCCAATGTTTGAGCCATAGCATCCTACGTGCTGAGACGTTGGATGCTATGGTCCTCAATGAGAACCTGGCCGCATGTAGTGTGGCATCCAAGATGTACTCTGATGCTGCAACAAGCTTGCTCAGGTCTTGTTGGGTAGTACTTCCTCCGGGGGAAGCCTAGCTTGTAGTTGGTGAAGCCAGAGTAGGGAGGTCCTGGCGAAGAAGGATGCACAAGTAGCAGCTCTTGCTGCCCACGTCGCCTAGTGAGTCCTGTGGAATGTCAATTCCCATCTCCTATCCTCAGCCTTTAGCACCTCTGCCATGTCCCCCGACACTGTGGACGAGGACAAGAGGAGACCAAAGGGTTCATCCACCATTGGCACCTCGAGATCCTCTGCCAGGTCTGGTGCTGCACTGAACAGTTTCCTGTCCGTTCCCCCCCCCGGGGGGGGGAAGTGCCAGGTGATACCCATTGTTTCTGGATCGCATTTCGGAAGAGTGCCAGGTAAGGGATGTGGTGCTGAATCACTACGGGCTCGAAAAACACCAGGTTCGAATATGAGCTGGGCGGGGGGTCTGACTGCGGGACCTGATCAGAGCCTATGTTGGCTGTGGAACTGGCTCTGCGGAGAAGTGGCAGGAAGAAGGCCGGGTTGAATAGTCCTCCAAATGGGGGAGGGTCTGGAAGAGGGTCTTCCTCCTCCCACCAAGACATGTCGGGTTGGTTGTCCTCCATAGGAGATGAGGTCCTGCTATGATAGGACCGGGACAGAGGGACCCTGGAACTTGGGTGCCCCTTTCTGGAAGAAAGGTGGGGGTATGGAGGCCACAGATTCAGGTGTGGGTCTGTGGTAGGACCTGGCAGCAAGTGCCCTGTCAACCACCTGAGCGATCAGGGTTTGGAGACGTTCCTCAAAGGAGGAGCCCTCGGGCTTAGCTCCCCTGAGCCCTGCACTGTGGGGGTAAAGGTAGCTCTGGAATCGAATGTGGGACCCGCGGTGGCAATGATGGTTGGTGGATCACTTGGGCTTGATCCACCCCAGAAGAAGGGAGATTCCCTTCTGGGAACCATACCTCTTGAGTAGAGGAGCAGGGTCCCAAAGGGAGATCGAAGAGCACGTCCTCTTTGCTCCGCCTTTGCCCTTGCCTGCTTCTGCACTTTGGAGAATTCTTTCTCCAAGGCCTGGTGCCTTCTGCTAGCCTGTTTCTCTGCCAACTTGGAAGGCTTCCTTCCAGAAATGGTCTTGGCCTTGGCTTTGATCCTGCCTGCCGCCTCCTGTTTGGAGGATTTTTGCCTTTTGCAGCTGGTGGATGGGGAGGCAGTGTTCTTAGGTTGAGATACCGTGGAGTCCTCCATCCTGAGGTGAGCGGTGCCGGGAGGGAACTCTGGCAGGGGATCAGTTGGCGAGATAGACTAAGCAGGGAATTGTGCCGTCCTGCTCTCCTGACCACCCGACTGGTTGAGGAAGCGGGCTGCTTGTCCCCCTTTAGGGTCCGCTCTTGTCTACAGCCACGGCAAACCTGCTTGCTCGTAGATCTCCTGATTATGCTAAAGGTGGCCAGGATGATAAATTGCATCAAGAGTGTTGGGAGCAGAAGCTTCTGAAGAATTGGACAATGAATTTTGTTTTATGAAATATTTTTTTAAAAAAATAGTTTATGGAATTATGATTTTACTATGATTGTGAATTTTGTGATTGTGGTCCCTGTGGGCTGGGCCTTGCAGCGTGGGCCCAAAGATTAGCAGGCCAGAGGGCGGGGGTGTTTGGGTGGAGGGGCTGTCTGAGGAGGGAACCGTTGGCAATGGCCTCCACAGCCGCGCTGCCCTCCCTTCTCTTAGGGAGGGAAAGACCGATCCCTAGATCTTCACTCCGGGGGAGGCTCAACTCTCCACCCAGAATTGCCTGGCTTGTTTGGCTGCCGCATTTGTTTCGGCAGCCCAAAATGGCATCTGGAAACAATGGCACGAAAGATGCTGTCGCTCGCGATGACACGCAAAGGAGGCTTCCGCTCTAATGGCGGGAAAAAGAAATCAACATGTTTTCTGCTGCCGGGAGGTGCCTCGACGCCCAAAATGGCAACCGGAGTGAGCTGGCATGGCAACAAGGAGACCGCCCGACTCAGCAAGGATCGCAGCGGCCGCTCGAAGAACAGAGGGTAAAACTGGCTATTTCTGCACGTGCGTGGCTTGAATCAATAATAGAATCAACGTCCGATCAGCAGGGAGTGCAGCAGCTCTCGGAGAACAAAGGTGATAGAAGCCTGAAGGACAGCAGCGGTCACCAATCCGGCGAGACAGGGAGCCCAGCCGGTTCCTCAATTCATTGAGGAAAAAAAGGGAGGAATCTCTACCCACCCCCCCGAGAAGTCTGAATGGGCTCTAGCTGCAGCACTGAACAGCTAAAGAGAGCTTTCCCTTTGGAGGGAGCTGAAGTCTCAGCAATAGCCCAGGGATCTGGGAAAGAAAGGGACCATCCCCCGAGCCTCCCACAGACTATTTCCCACAGCGCTGTTGAAATGGCTGTGGGTCAGAAGAAGTAGAATCCACGAAAGTAATTAAGCTCTACTACTTGCCTTAGACTGGGAGCCAAATTTGTCATGTCCATTTGGGCTGAAGACCAAGTCAAGACTGGAAGTGGCTTACCCAAGGACGGGTGTGGCAAATTTGGCTGACTTGGTCTAATGCAGTGGTTCGTAACCTGTGGGTCGGAACCCCATTTGGGGTCGAACAACCATTTCACAGGGGTCGCCAAACAACGCAGTCCGCCATTTTTTCCCCCTTTTCCTTAGCTGTGCTACTCCCTTTTATTCTATTGGCTTTTGAAAGCCAATAGAATAGACTCTATTGAATAGAGTCTACCGTAAATGCCAGCGTAAGGCGACTTCCGCGAGCGCTGAAATCGGCGCCAAAGACGGGGGTCGTCTTATACGCCGAGTCGTCTTATACGCCAGAAATACTGGTAGTTTCCGGCGTATAAGACGACGTTCTAGGAATGCGGCCCGGCTATAAAGACAGGGGTCGTCTTATACGCCGGGTCGCCTTGTACACCGGCGTTTACGGTAATTCTATTGGCTTTCAAAAGCCAATAGGAATTGTCCAGGCTGTCTCTGCCCTGTTGAGCCCGCCAAAAGTCCCATTCTGCAAACGGTTCTGCACCAATTGAGTAGTCCTCGACTTACGACCGGTTGAGTAGTCCTCGACTTACGACCGGTTGGGGTTCGCGGCATTAAAAAGGTTGAAAACCACTGGTCTAATGGTCTGAGCTAACCCATTGGTGGATTCTCCATCTCCGGTGCTGGAGAACATTCCTCTGCATTAAAACTTCAACGCGTAATTCTGTACTCATCCACTGACATTCTATTACAAGAAAACCTAGTTTATGTCTGCTGTACAGCAGAAGTGGCCAATAAGCTTTGGAAAACAAGTGAAAGCATATTTTTTATGTTGTAACACAGCACATTTTAAAGAAGAAAGGAAAGTCAACATTGCATTTGTTAAAAAAACACCCACTCTGAAATGAAGGAATATGAATATTTCCCTATTAGAGATGTTAGCCTTTGTAAATCACACTTTTATTTTTGTTGAACTAGACTAACAAAATGATCATTTTGGAAATGTAAACTGTGTTAACTCATTGTAAAGATCTTTCAATACTTGTCTTGAACAATGTGAACTTTGTTTTGCAAAGTGCTATAAAAAAACTTACCAGTGGTGTGAATTCCTGTATGTAAAAAAAATCAAGTAAATATTTACCACAGTTGGTATAATTATTACACTGAATTCACTTATTAAATGCTGATAATGCTTAACACACCAAGTAGCAGTTTTCCCAAAAAAATATTCTCCTTAACATAGTTTTCGGCTTTTTATATAAACCAGAGGAATACCTAGTCTATTTATTCACCTACAAGTGGGAATTTTAAATTTCTGAGAATCAAATGAAAATATTTTTGGATCACTTCAAACTACAACTGGTAGATTATATGTTTGAATGTAATATCCCCCCAATCTATACATACCAGTAACCTGAATAAGACTACATCAGTTTCTCTGACATTTTTTTTACATGTATGAAAGACATTTTTATAGAAAGAAATGTCAATCCTATATTTATTATGAATGCTGAAGGGCTGCAACTTAGGAACATGTAGACAACATATCAACTTTTGAAACCATGGTTTGATTCTTATTTGAACCATCTTAAGGTAGAATATATTAATTTCAAATAATTCTATAATGAAATCATTGAGTATTAAAAAAACCCCTTTTCAATAAATTAGATTGTTGTTCAAAATGCAACATAAATGGATCATAATGTTTTTAACCATTGTTTATGGAATGGACCACAATTAACACTGCAGAATGGTTAATAAATCATAATTGACTTCATAGCTTCGTGTACTCTGTAAACTTGATTCACAAGAAGGATTAAGCTACTTCTGCACTATAATGAGTAAATACAGATAGTCCTCGATTTATAGCTACAATTGGATGGGAATATCTGAAACTCAGCAATGTGGTCTTATGTGAGTCATCTGTGGTTTTACAACTCTTTTTTTTGTAGTTACTAACCAATGCACCGCAGTCATTAAGTGAAATCAGCTTCTCCCATTGGCTTCGCTTGGCAGAAGGTCCCTGGGAAGGTTAAAAATGGCAGTCATGTGACCCTAGATGTATACATCGTAAATGTATGCCAATTGCCAAGCATTCAAATTTTGATATGACTGGAGGGATGCTATGATGGTTGTAAGTGCAAGATATAAGTCACTTTTTTCAAAGCCATCATAAATTTGAATGATCCTAAGTCGAAGACTACCTGTAGAAATAGTCCACAATTTACAACCACTCATTTAACGACCATTTGGACTTGTTTAAGAGCCATGTGATTCACTTCAACTGCAATGATTACCAACAATTGTGGCTAAAAAAATTTGTAAAATCAAGCACCACTCATTTAACAATTGCCTTGTTTAGCAATAGAAATGTTGGTCCCAATTGTGGCTATAAATCGAGGACAACCTGTATTATGTAACTTTTTGAAGCATGCGCCTTGAGAATCTCTTGTTAAAATAAAAAACCCAGTGTTACACCAAGTAAGCTTGGCTCTCTTTGCAAAGATTTTGCAATGTAGGAAACAGAACTCAAATAATATTTTCGTTATTTATATTAACATATACTGTAGTTCACACAACACAATGACAAATGATATAGAACTACAGACTATCATCCACAGTTCACATCTAGTTCCTCCTTTTTTTTTTTGCTTGTAAGACTGAATCAAACTATATACTAAATTTTTATGGGGCACGATGGTTCAGCAGTTAAAGACACTGCTTGTCAGTTGGAAAGCTGACAATCCACGCTTGATACCTAAGCATTGTGTGACAGGGTGAGCTCCAGTTACTTGCCCCAGCTCCTGCTCACCTAGCAGTTCGAAAGCATGCAAATAGGTACTACTGCAGTGGGAAGGTAAGTGTTCCATGTGCCTTGGTGTATAGTCATGCCAGTCACATAACCACAGAAATGTCTTTGGACAATGCTGGCTCCCTCGGATAAGAAATGGAGATAAGCACTGTCCCTAGAGTCAGACACAATTGGACAGAGGAATAATCTCCCTTTACCTATATACTAAATTGAAGTGAATTCAAATGAAATTCTGGATAGAAGGAAAGATTTTTAAGATTAAATCTTGGATTCTATTAAGTTGGTAATTAAGGATTTTTAAAAGTCAGAATCTTATCACAAGACTGAAAAATGTGAATGATGAAAACATATAAGTATCCATAATGAGTGAATATTAGTTTACTTACCATGAGTCTTTGCAATGAGAAGCTCAGGTGCTAAGTAGTCTGGGGTTCCTAAAATACGTTCTCCGTCTATTGGAGCAGCCCCTCTTCGCACACTTTTTGGGGTCCTAAAGGGTGTATCAACATTTCCCTGAGGAGTCTGATGCAAAAAATAAATATTAAATCAGATATAAAGCAAGACAGTTAGAATATATTCATTTCATTTCTTGATTTAAATGATTAGTGGCTGAGATGAGAGCCTAGTTACTTTATCTGCAATGAAGTATATTATTCAATTCCAAAAGTATATTATCTCAAACCAAATGGGTTTTCTTTTATGTCTCTTTTGGTAAATATGGGGCTATAATTTATTATTACTTTTAATTATCCAAGGGATGTCATTGGGAAAGTTGGGCAGATCTTCAGTTCTTTGGGAAAGACTGGAGATGTTTTAAAAATGCAAATGAAATGTCTTAAAAAATAATTATTATGAACCAGATTGTTTTGGGCTGCCAAAAGTCTATGACCTAATTTTGGCTGCATAATTCTGAAGTTTCCTATTCTACTGTAGAAGCAAAAATTTCATTATAATCAGTAAATGGTAACTGGCCATGAAATCCTTAATGCCATCTGCTCACATCTGAAAAGTGCAAGAGGTTTTAAGCTTCAAAGTATACATTCATCATAAAACTAAAACTAGCTTTTATTTATCTATTACTCAGGCTTCTACACTATTGTAATTCATTGACTCTCAGTGGATTATAAAAATCTCAATTCAGTATTAAGGTTAAAAACATAGATATTAGACAAAAGAAATATTGCAAGGTTTTCTCAAAGCCTAAATCAAGCACCCCTAATCTTTCTCCATTTTGGAACCTCAACCACCATAATTTTTAGCCTATACAACTATGAGCTGTACAAGATAGGAACTCTGGGAATTGTAATCCCAGCACAGCTGAGGAGTCCAGATTAGAAAAGGCTGATTGAAATGATGTGTTCAATCTTTCACTTTATTTTGCAATGATGTGTTTTAATAATGCCCTCTATGGACAGGTTTCTATATGCAATTCATGTAAATTCATGAAAATAATGTTTCTATTTGTTATCTTACATCCAGATAAGAACTGTCCCAGTTTTAAAAAGTAAACATGACAAGGCTCAACTACACTTATGTGCTAACATTTTGTCTATTCTTTGTATTCTCAAGTGGCATTGAAGAAATGGAGAAATTTGAATGAACTAAATTACAGTTCCAGTAAAATCAAGATTTAAGTCATGAATAATTTACCCATTGATATCAATAAGAAATAAATTAAATTTACAGAAACCTTTTCTCTAGATTTACTGAAGTTACATCCTCTAAAAGCGGGTGTGTTGCCAACATACAAACCATTTTCAGAATAACATTTGTGACTTTTTAAGCAACTTAAACATGAAAAAGCCTAAAGTTTGTATTTGTGCTACAGAAGTTCTATAATATAATTTTATCTAAATACAGCAGAAGAGTCCTATCGCTGCATTTCACTAAGATCCAAGGCTTCCAAAGAAAATTCATATAATGGTAAATTTATAAAATTATAACTAAGTAATAGAATGAAAGTACAATGGAATGCATCAGTGACCTTGAAGAAAGTGGAGAAGAGACACTGCCTAGGAAACAATCAGACGAGAGGAGTAGGAGCCTGCAGTTGCTTAATGGTCAGAGAAAGTAACTCAAAGATAGATAAAAAGGTTAAAAGAGGGTGGGAAAATGTGTACTTTCAGACCTGTAAGGCTCTATTAAAGTAGCCTTATGATATAATAGATTTAGTTCATTACCAGGGAAGGCCAATAGAAAGAAACCTTGAAGATCCAAGAAACATGGAACTAAAGTTAAGAGTTGCCCATCATAACTACCTAGGAAAATGTCATGAAAGTTCTTGTCAACAGAGGGATTTTTGCCATATAAACCAGTAGGATCTAAGGTAACTCTTTACTATATATAGAAATGTCCTATAATGCCATATTGCATGTTCAGTACCTACCTGATATATCCTGTAGGGTGTTCCTTTTTGTGCAGGTGTAATGGTCATTGGATAAGAACCACTGCAGGCAGAGATATTCATTCCTTCTACAGATACCATACTGATTTTTGAAGGCTCAGTCATATTAGACGTATTGATAGAACTATTGTAACTTCGGAAGGCAACAATATTTTTTTTAAGTACTTTTAGCATGTCCATTGGTGAAGAATGAACACTGGTGTGCTTTTCTGTAATGTATTTCAAACTCTTATCTTGATTGCGATCCAAGTATTTGCTCTCCTGGACAGGGAGCATTGGCTCATCTCTGGTTTCCCGTCTGGAGCAGCAAGGTAATGTTAACATAGCTTCTGATTTTGATTCCTCAAGGGGGATGTCTTTAATGCTCCCATTTAAGCTAAATGTGTGTTTTTCTAAATGGTTCTCTGTAGCAGAGATCTCTGGAAGGGATAAATCAGAGTCCATGCTCATGCTTGCTAAAGGCTTTTCATCATCAATGCTTACAAAACTGAAGTTCATGTGTTTTCCATCCTTTTCACAATCTGCATTTAGTTCATTCATAAGATTCTTAGCTATTAATGGGGTGTCTAATTTGCTCCCTTTATTTTCTTCCAAACAATTTGAATCCTTTGTTTGACTTTCCTTTGGGCAGCTCTCTTGCATGCACCCTTCAAGTTTTAAGTAACAGATTTCAGCTGTCAAACCTGTGCTTTGCTTTTCTGGGATCTCAATAATTTTACAACCACGCTTATATTCACTATTATTTTTTTTCACAAGGATATGTTCTTGAGAAGGGCTAGTGTCAACTAATTCAAAGCATCTTTTGATTCCAGTCTTCTTCAGCACTGGTCTCTCCTCTTCTTTCTTGAGATTATCCAAGCCCAGATGGGAAAAGTGATAGTTGGGTTTTGCTACCTCCTTGAATTGAGCAGAATTATCTGTACAAAGCTTTTCTTCCCATTCTTTGTATTCTGAGAGACATTTTCTGACTAGGTCTTTCACATCACAAATTTTTACAGAAATATCTGATGAGTCACAGTGTTCACTCCTTCCATTATGCCTGTCTGCAGAGTCATTACTACTAATAGGAGAGATAGCAGTTTCTAGCAAGTTTTGCTTTAAGACTTCACTATTGTTGACAAATGGCATATCTGTAGGTTCATGTTTCTCCATTGCATTAATTTGACCTGCTGCAGGGCAGAAATTGTCTTCTTCCTGAAAACAAAGTAGTTTTAAGCTAAGCAGACAAACATTACTCAAATCCAGCCTAAACTAATTACACACATGGAACAACTAAACTTGAAACAAAATTAGAATGAAACAAATAATATATAAATCTAAAAAGCATTAAAAGTATAGTTTAGCACCTTAGCTGAAAGAGACAAGTCTTTGTTTCTGAGAACAGATCTCTCTACATTTCTGATTCTGAGCAGAATATAGTCTGTCTGCCATGTTTCAGATGGAAAAGGCTTCTAATTCTGATTGAAACTGAATGGAAAGCAAGTCCCTAATCATAGCTACTTCTTAGTCTAATTTCACATCCAATCACAAAACTATCGCCATGGTGGTTGATATATAATGCTTATTACTATTAACTTATCTTGTGTTAATACTGAACTAAAAATAAAATGGCATATTAGTACCATATATGCCGGCGTATAAGACGACTTCCGGAAGTGCTAAACTTGGCGCCAAAGACGGGGGTCGTCTTATACGCCGAGTCGTCTTATACGCCGGAAATACTGGTAGTTTCCGGCGTATAAGACGACACTCTAGGAATGCGGCTCGGCGACAAAGACGGGGTCGTCTTATACGCCGTGTCGCCTAATACGCCGGCATATACGGTAGATATACGAGAAGCCTATTACTTTGAATTTTACTATGGTGATACACTTTTCTTTCCCTACTCCAGAAATAAATTATTTTTTGTTTTTATATTCACATTCTACTTAGAGGACCTTGCTTTGAATCAACGTTTAGGTATAGAAACTCACTGGTTACAAAGGGACAGTCTCTTGTTTCTCACATGCCATCCAATCATACAAGCCAGTATTTATTTGCATATTAAGTCATGAAATGTATAATAAAGTGTTTTAATTTCCCATCTTCATAGGAATAAAACTGAAGACTAGAGTATTATAAATAATATCCTGAGCACCTGGGAAAAAGATAAATATAAATCTAACAAATAAATAAACGATTGAATTAGAAGACAGAATCACCATAAGATCCAGATACTATTTGAAAGCAGAGCATGTTTTGCTAACTTTGGAGGAGTTTCTGTTTCTATAGGCATGTTATCTACTAACTAATGTAGGAATGGAATGTGTTGAGGGGACATACAAGCAGAAGATGGGCATGTGAACCCAGAATTGCTATCCATGACTTGAACCAACTTTTAGAAAATGTGGATTCCTATTCTTTGTAACATAATAGGAAGGAGTGATCTCCTAAAAACATAGAAAACAGAATAACTAATAATTCTATCTCTTAATCAGAATATGCTATCCATTTCTTGCAAGGTTATCCTATTTGAAAAAAACAAAATTTAAAAGCCTTTAAATGTTGTCCTGTACCAGCACAGAATTATTCAGGTTAAGAAGAAGCAAATTCTTAGAAAAAAACAGTCCTAACCTGGATGTCTTTTTCCCACCTGGGGCTGCTGCAGCACTCTGATTCCATACTAGACAGCTGGGTCCGGGAATGGCTACTGGCACTAGATGTTCCACACCTTCTTCTGGACTGAAGCAGAGTCGGTGTTAAACTCCTTATGGGCATTCCAGGCATAACAGCTGAAGAATCAAGACCTTCAAAAGGAATAGGCAATTTTTGTCTGTTTACTAAAACAATGACTTACAGCAAATTTTCAACTGAACCATTCAACTGAACCATAAAGTAAAATTGTTCAAGTAAATAATGTAAAATGTATTTCTTTTAAATAGATATTTATCTCCTGTCTTCATAATTCTTTTTAAGTGTAATTTATATTTTAATCTATTTTATTTTGAATTTGTTCAATTAAAAGAACTTTCTGGAAGTTTAGAAAAGGTGCTAAAAGTATAAAAGGAAGGAAAACACTGACATAAATTTACATTCATATAGAAAGACTATAATACAAGTAGTTATATATCTCATAAACCACAGCAACACAATTTTCTAACTTAAATTGTCATGGATTCACTCTAAAGGAGCATAACACTAAGAAGAACCAAGTTTATTGCAATTGTTTTTTTTTCTTGTAAAAAGTTTTTATTTTCAATTTTTCATTACATTCATAGAAAGCACTTCAGATAAAGAATAAAATAAATTTATACACACAACTTTCGGTATTGCTCACCCATTTCTCACCAAACCGCATCCACCCTCTAACCTCTTCTTTCACTTCCCTCTTTCTCCCTCTTCTTCCTCACTCTCCCCCTCTCCTCAGCCTTCCTATTTACTTCTCCCCTTCCTCCTATCTTCTCATTCCCCGAGCAATTCCTCTCTCCAAATTGAAACATCAATATTATATACAATAAAACTATTTCTACTTATCTGACCTATTTAACCTCCAACCCATCCTCCCCCTACCCCCCTCTCCCCCCGACTTCCCAGAGCCAAGTACAGGGTTATACAAACATATTAAACATAATCTATTTAAGTTTACTAATTATACAATAACCAAAATCATACTAACTCTTAACTCTCTTCAAACTTTAACATCATAATTTTATAAACAAATTCATTACTCATAAAATAAATGAAATTTTGTAGTACCATATTTCTTCTGAACATATTCTATCTATCTTCTCCATACAATAACATATCTCTCTTGTGAATGATCCTTTAAATAAGCAGAAATTTTAGCCATTTCTGCTAAATTAGAAACCTTAAATACCCATTCTTCTAAAGGCAGAGAATCTTTCTTCCAATATTGACCCACCAATAAACTTGCTGCTGTTATTAAATTCAACATTAAAATAGTTTCTTTAGCATCAAAATCCACAAAAATACCCAAAAGAAATAATTGGGGAGTAAACTTAATCTTCCTCTTAAAAACCTTTTGAATGTTCCACCAAATCATAATCCAAAAGGCTTTAATATTTTTACAAGTCCACCAAACATGAAAATAAGTTGCATCCAAGCTACCACATCTCCAACATTTAGATTGCAGGTTCGGGTACATACAAGACAACTTTTTAGGATCCAGATGCCATCTATAAAACATTTTTTAAAAATTTTCCCTCAAATTTTGAGCCTGCGTAAATTTAACATTTCTAATCCAAATTAACTCCCATAAATCCAATAAAATCGGATTCTGAGCCCATTTAATCATACAATCTTTTACTAACTCTGTTTCCGAATCCAATTTTATTAACTCATTGTAAATTCTTTTAATATGAGCATATTTCTGATTTTTAATCTGAAATACCAAATTTTCATCTGCTAAAGTAATTCCCACTTTCTTATCTAAGGTCCACCTTTCCACTATTTGCAAATATTGAAACCATGATTGTAAAATATTTTCTTGCCTTAACAAACCTGAAGACTTTAGTTGTCAATCAGTACCCGACCAAATAAATAATTCTTTAGACGAAATATTATCAAAATTCCCTTAGAAACTGCCTGAATTGCTTATCCAGAAATCCCCCAAATAGGTATTTTATAATTTAACTTATAATAATACTTCTTCCAGACTCAAAGTAAAGCATTTCTTAAAATGTGTGACTTAAAAACCAGATCTACTTTCTTATCAAAAATTAAATATGCATGCCAACCATATAATAAATCCCAACCTTCAAGAGCAAGAATATTTTTATTTGTTAAATTAAGCCAATCACTTACTAAAGTTAAAGTGGCCGCATCATAATATAATTTCAAGTTAAGTGCTTTAAGTCCATCTCTTTCTCGAGTGTCTTGTAAAATCTTAAACTTTACCCTTGATTTCTTCCCACCCCAGATAAATTTATTGATACCCAATTGTTGTATATATGCTTCACAAGAAAGATGGGCAATGGAACAATGGAAAAACAAAGATTTTTACAGAGGGTAAGGATTGCAAGACAAGAAATCCTAGGAAATTGGATTTGCCTGCCAATTTGGGGAAGCTATGTAGCAGGGCAGAGTTGATAGCAAAATGGGCCTTTCAGGAGGACAGCAGAGTTGAAGAAGTTTATTGTTAAAGGAGGTAGAATGTTAAGCTCATCAACTGATGGGGGCTGAAACTAAGATGATCAAAGGCCTGGAGATTAAAACATGCGAAGAACGGCTGCAGGACTTGGGTTTGGCTAGTCTAAAGAAAAGAAGAAATAGGGGAGACTTGATAGCAGTATTCCGGTATTTGAGGAGCTGCCACAAAGAAGGGCTCATGTTATTCACCAAAGCATCAGAGAGGATGACAAGAAACAATGATTGGAAACTGATCAAAGAAAGAAGCAACCTGGAATTAAGGAGAAACTTCCTGACAGTGAGCAATTAACTAGCGGAATAGCTTGCCTCCAGAAATTGTGGGTGCTCCATCACTGGAAATTTTAAAAAGCGCTAGACAGTCACTTCTCTCAGATGGTATAGGTCAGTGACGGAGAACCTTTTGGAGACCGAGTGCCCCAAAACCACCCCACCCCCTGCCGGGTCACCCACCACCTCCATGTCCCACTGCAGATTACCCAGGAGGCCCTGCAGCATCATGGCAACCACGTCCTTTGCCCATGCCTCGCAGCATCATCTGCGCGCAATGGGGCACGAGGCTAGAGTCTTGTCCCTGCTGCCCGGCTGTCATGTCCTTGGCTGCGTTGCTCCACACAGGCTGCGCCCAGGGACGACTCTCCAGGGGGGCTGCTGGTGAGGAGGGGGCTATGGGAGAGGCGGGGCTGGGACGACGGCACATATGCCCACAGAGAGGGCTCTGAGTGCCACCTCTGGCACATGTGCCATAGGTTCGCCACCACTAGTATAGGTTCTCCTGCTTGAGCAAGGGGCTGGACTAAAAGACCTCCAAGGTCCCTTCCAGCTCTCTTCTATTCTAAGGTGTTTCTTTATTTGCAATTTTATAGTCGCCATAGGGCTATTTTGTGAGGAGGCTTCTTTTCTTTGCCTTAGATAGGATTGCAGGAGGCTTTGTTTGGAGGGAGGGAGAGAAAATTTGGGACTGATGGGATTACGCCCAATCCCCAGTCCATGGACCAGTACTGGTCTGTGGCATACCAGCAACTGGTCTGCATAAACAAGCAAAGCCATATCTGCGGGATGCAGGCAGCACACAAAACAATGCATCTTCTGGTTCACAAAAAAACTCTCTCCATGGAACCGGTCGCTGGTGCCCAAAAGTTGGGGGCCTCTGAATTAGGCAAAGTAATGAGTAGGGCTTTGATCTTTGTCATATTTAAAAGGGGTTGTGGGGAAAAGTGCAGTCTCCATTTTGTTTGTTACATTTATTTTCTCCATTGCAATACCAATAAAATAGCATAGAATCATTCAGGAATTAATTGCTCAGAGTTTAAAGCACTCAGAAGTGAAATGTCATCAAGATGAACAATGGATACGCCTATTTTGGATAAAATTCCAATAATAGGGCACCACTTCAATGGTCCTTTCCACACAAATTAATCTCTTTAAAAGGATAGGATCACAACTGGTTTGAAAGAGCCATGTAATAATAATAATAATAATAATAGTAATAATAAAGTTGGAAGGGACCTTGGAGGTCATCTAGTCCAACCCCCTGCTCAGGCAGGAAACGCTACACCATTTCGGACAAATGGCTGTCCAGTTTCTTTTTAAAAACTTCCAGTGTTGGAGCATTCACCGCTTCTGGAGGCAGGTTGTTCCACTGGTTAATTGTTCTAACTGTCAGGAAGTTTCTCCTTAGTTCTAGGTTGCTTCTCTCCTTGATTAGTTTCCACCCGTTGCTTCTTGTCCTGCCTTCAGGCGCTTTGGAAAATAGCTTGACTCCCTCTTCTTTGTGGCAGCCCTTGAGATATTGGAATACTGCTATCATGTCCCCCTTCGTCCTTCTCTTCGTTAAACTAGACATACCCAATTCCAGCACCCATTCCTTATATGCTTTAGCTTCCAGTTCCCTGATCACCTTTGTTGCTCTTCTCTGTACTCTTTCTAGAGTTTAAACACTTTTTTACATCGCGGTGACCAAAACTGGATGCAGTATTCCAAGTGTGGCCTTACCAAGGTATTGTAAAATGGTATTTATACTTCACATGATCTTGATTCTATCCCTCTGTTAATGCAGCCTAGCACTGCGTTGGCCTTTTTGGCAGCTGCAGCACACTGCTGGCTCATATTTAAGTGATTGTCCACTAGGGCTCCGAGGTCCCTCTCACAGTTACTACTATTGAGCAAGGTACCCCCTATACCAGTGGTTTTGAACCTTTTTAATGCCGCGACCCCCAATCGGTCGTAAGTCAAGGACTACTCAACCAGTCGTAAGTCGAGGACTACTCAACTGGTGCAGCACCGTTTGCAGAATGGGTCTTTTGGCGGGCTCAGCAGGGCAGAGACAGCCTGGACAATTCCTATTGGCTTTTGAAAGCCAATAGAATTAGACTCTATTCAAGAGAGTCTATTCTATTGGCTTTCAAAAGCCGATAGAATAAAAGAGAGTACACAGTTAAGGAAAAGGGGAAAAAAATGGCGGACTGCATTGTTTGGCGACCCCCGTGAAATGGTCGTTTGATCCCAAATGGGGTCCCGACCCACAGGTTGAGAACCATTGCCCTATACTATACCTGTACATTTGGTTTTTCTTGCCTAAATGTAGAACCTTGCTTTTTTCAACACTGAATTTCATTTTGTTAGATAGTGCCCAGTGGTCAAGCCTGTCCAGATCCTTCTGTATCTTAAGCCTGTCATGAACAGCCCTCTCTCAACAGAAGGGGAGGGATATGACGCCACCTATCTCCTATTTAAACACAGTCCTTTCAGCAGCTCCAAGAAGGTTCCACACTCATTTGCACTATTCAGGTGACCTTAAGGACACAGATAAATTTCCAAGTGGCTTCAATGACTCACAGAATCAGTGCTAACGATCAGATGACTGCAAGGATTGTAAATCCTTCCATCCTCCACCATTCAGTCACAACTGAAAAACTTCTTGGATGAGAAGCAAAACATTTTCAAAGAAAAACAAGTTCAGTTGCCTTTTAAAAAACCATCTTTGGGACATCCATGACCTGGATGACTGAGAATCTCCATAGATGATAGGATCAAATCCTTCCAATTAGATACTTACATGCTCTTAGGAGCTTACTTGATGCCATAGGGTAATCTTTGTAGCTTATAGATAGAGGAGAAGCGAATTCTCGAGACAGCTGAGGTATATCTGCAGAAACAGGGCTTGGACTCTGCACAGGCCCTTTCCCTCCAACTGGAGTATACTGTCAAAATAAACATATATTTTTCAGTAGATAGACATATTGAAATTTATCAAGGGTATGGCAATTTATAATTTCTGAATGCAAACATATGCTTCAGTATCTGAATTTTTGTGATATAGATGATAGACAGAATCTCAAGCTTTCCCCCAAAATAAAGCCTTACATTAACACTTTAAATGTAAGTGTTAGGCATGTGAATGACAAGCTTAAAGAAGTTTCTTTCAATGCACAGAGACTACCGTATATGCCGGCGTATTAGGCGACCCGGGGTATAAGACGACCCCCGTCTTTATAGCCGGGCCGCATTCCTAGAACGTCGTCTTATACGCCGGAAACTACCAGTATTTCCGGCGTATAAGATGACTCGGCGTATAAGACGACCCCCGTCTTTGGCGCCGATTTCAGCGCTCGCGGAAGTCATCTTATACGCCGGCATTTACGGTAAATCAGCCAAAATGCCAGGATTTATTAATTATTCAAATGACTAAAAACCACCTCATGTAATTTAGTAGAATTTCTTTGTATTCTCCCACTTAGTATCTTTATTGCTATTTCATTGGGCCCTAGTCAGATTTTTTTAGACTTAAATATTTCATTATGTAATCTCCAGCTATATTAGGAGTTTGATCTTAATTCTTGTAAGAAGATAGAAATGTTAGCTGACAATCTTACATTTATAAATTTTTATATTGTATATTATGTAGTAAAGAATACAGTATAAATATATTATTTTGAACACTTACAAAACCAAAAGAGCTGATAAGAGATAATACTTGTCCAGGAGTACGAGAATAGTCTTGCTTAGGCTTAGACATTGATGGTGTAGTGAGAATATCTATCATATTTATTTCTGAAAAAAAGTATGATTAGGCTCTATATGATATTTATAAAAGTGCAATCAATAATAACATTGTAATTGGACATGTAAATTTACACTACATATTAAAAAAATATTTGGCAACAATTCTGATATATAAATATATCAAGTTGTGTAGGGCTTACCTCTATTCAAAGTAACTCTGGACAGTCCAAAGTCTGTCAATTTAATGTGACCCTCATTAGATATCAGCATATTGTCTGGTTTTAAATCTCTAGTAATAAAAAAAATATTTATAGGCTACCTTTATTACTTTTACAAATAACTCAAGCCAGCAAACATATCCAACACATCTTTTTCCTCTTAAATTCCCCACAACAATAATTTTTTGAGGTGAGTTGGGTGAGAGCGAATGACTATCCAAAAAAACTCAGTTGGCTTTTGTGATTACGGCAGGACTAGAACTCAAGTTTTCTGCTTTCTAGCTTCAGGCTTAACCTGGAGGCCAAACTGGCTCTAATAAATGAAATAATTATATATTCTTCTTCTTGTGCCATATCCGTTATCAGATATTGGCGATCATGTTGGCAATCCTATTTTTATCAGCAGCCGCACGAAAAAGTGCTACACTTCGCCAAATTGATAATCACCCACTATCCATTCTAGTACATTGAGGAGAGACTATATTGGGGAATAATGTAATGATTTAAAGACATTAATCAATGTTCTGCTCTCAGATAAATTTTATACAACATAATTATTGTTCCTAGATATCAATGCTGGCTCAGAATAATAACGTTAAATGATTATAAACAAATAAAGTGAACCTGTTTACTAAGTATACATGTAGAGGACATAAATGTTGTTGGTTCAGTAGAAAACAGGTTTTCTGTGCCAGCAATATTCCTATAGTTAATTATTATCAAAGCAGTCAGAATAAATCTTCTTAGAATGGTTTACTTCTTATGTAGTGTATATTCCATAATTCTATATTTCAGAGATGGCACTAATTTCCATTTTCTCCTGAAATTATATTTCTAATTACTTAAGATAAAAAGTGCTCCAAACTTTTGAAATTGATCCAAATCCATTAAACTTGAATCTTAAAGCAGCAGGTCTACTACAAAGGTAATTATGGGTGATGAGTTAAGTTTCAGCCTTTTAAAATGTGTGTAACTTTAATGGCCTATTTGAAAATGTTTAATCTTACATCATATGTAAATCCAGCATAGCATGATTTTACCTATGGATTATTCCATGCCTGTGAAGGTAATCAAGAGCCAGTGCTACTTCAGAAATATACTTTACTGCCATTTCTTCATCAAAGTAACCACATATATGAAGAAGAGATTTAACATCTCCGCCAATAAGATATTCCATTACCTGCCAAAGAAAAATACCTTTGTAAAATTTAAGAGCAGAGATAGGCAATCTATGGCTGACATAAATCCTTCAATTTTTTGTATAACCTGCTAAACTCCAGAGGCAATACTGAGAATAATTATACTAGCAGATGTGATCTTATAACCTCTGAACCATATCTTTCAAAGAGCCTTGAGCATAGAGGAACTATTGTAGGATCAGAAAAGAGCTGATGTAATTCCAATTTTCAAAAAAGGGGGAAAAATGGATCCAGAAAACTATAGATCATCAAATCAACTTGATATCAATACCTGGAAAAATTCTGGAAAAGATAATTAAGCAACAGATCTGCAAACGTTTAGAAACAAGTAAAGGTATAAGTGATTAAATTAGTGGATCAGCAAAATGCTGTGGATATGGTATACCTGGACTTTAGTAGGGCATTTGACAAAGTAGACCACAACCTACTTCTTAATATAGGATAGACAATATCACCACCAGATGGATTCATAATTAATTAATCACACTCAATGTGTACTCCTCAACAAAATTATATCTGTACGGAGGGAAGCATGCAGTGGGGTACAATCACTTAAATATGAGCTGGCAGTTTGTTGCAGCTGCCAAAAAAGTCAATGCAGTCCAAGGCTGCATCAACAGTAAGTGAAGTGTTAGTACTGCTTTATACTGCTTTAGTAAGACCACATTTGGAATACTACATCTAGAAAGAATGCAGAGAAGAGCAACTAAGATGATTAGGGAGCTGGATGCTGAAATATACAATGAACCACTGCAGGAACTAAGTATGTCTAGGGGAGGTATAATAGCAGTCTTCCAATAATTAGGGGCTGTCACAGACAGTAGTATTCGCCAAAGCACCTGAGGGCAGGACAAGAAGTAGCAGATGAAACCTATAAATGAGAACTAAGGAGAAATTTTCTGACAGTGAAAACCATTTATTAGGGGAACCACTTGCCTCCAGAAGCTGTGGGTGCTCTATCACTGGAATTTTTAAGAAGAGATTGGACACCATTTGTACAGAATGATGTAAGGTCTCTGCTTGAGTGGATAGTTGGACTAGGCCTGTAAGGTTCTTCCCAATTCTTTTATTTTATTAATAATGCTTTTTCTATCATGTTAAGTGTTATTGGCATTCTTAGGTCTAAACAGTTAAATAATCTTTAAAACTCAAAAGCTGGGCAAAACCAGAAAAATCATAGTTCTATGTCTGAGATGTTCTTATCTGTTTTTTTCCCATGTCAGAAGCACTGAAATGATTTGGTGAAATAGCCTTATTTATTATGGATTATCATTCACTGTGGTTTTACAATACAATTTATTTCAGATTACTCCATCCAGTTCCTTTCCTTATGTATTATGGTTACAACTCATCTGAGTTAGAATTACCCCGTAAATGCCAGCGTACAAGGCGACCCGGCCTATAAGACGACCCCCGCCTTTATAGCCGGGCCGCATTCCTAGAACGTCATCTTATATGCCGGAAACTACCAGTATTTCCGGCGTATAAGACGACTCGGTGTATAAGACGACCTCTGTCTTTGGCGCCGATTTCAGCGCTCGCGGAAGTCGCCTTATACGCCGGCATTTACGGTATCTGAATTAAAACTCATACAAACTGAGGAAGGAAAAATGATAACGTTCATATATTTAACACAGTAAAGTTCATTTATTTTCAGGAGTGATCTACTCATGGGAAAGACAACAAAAGGCTAAATTAGAATGTGATACAGGCAAAAACAGATATTCAGTAAAATTATAGCTCAAAAATATTGGTTTAAGATTGGAACTGAAGTTGGTGTTCAAACAGCAGGTGATAGGGACACTGGAAAGTACTATAAAATAAACAATAGGTTGAAACAACAGCTAAACTACACTTAAAAGAAACAAGGTTTGCCAAGACAATGCGGGTGGATTACTCACCAAGTAGACGTTGTTGGCAGATTGAAGTGAATAGAATAAGTGTACTATGAAAGGACTTTTACTGAGAGCCAAGGCATCTCTTTCTGCCTGTACCTGATGGGCCATATTTTTATTGATCAGATCAGCCTTTTTCACCACCTGTAAAAACAATTATGCCTTTGGTGATATATGCATCATATTTCTCCACTGCAGAAAAATGTTACTTTTCTTTATGCCTATAATTCATAAATGCTCCATATTAAGGATTTTTGTGGAATGTTCTATGCATTTAATGCCAAATAAATTCTCACAATGCATACTTTAATTATTGTACTATATATCATTTAGGCTGGATATCTTAAGCCTTTGGTGTACTTTCAATCAAAATCTGTGATACCTCACTTAGGCCATTAAAAAGTAGGAATTAAACTGAATTAGAAAACCGATTTTACTCAATTACCTAGAATGATTAGGCTTTTATACCATGGTTCATTTACCTGCCACTGGGTACTTTTTCTAATAATGAAGTTTGCTAACTTGGTCTAGACCAGGGCTTTTCAACCTTTTCACAGACTGTACCACTTTTAGGACATGACAATATTTGAGTATCACCAGTGCTTAGCAAGGTGTCAAAAACTTGATGACTGAAAAAAAGGGGCGGGATTTTGGGTTTTACTGGTTAGATTCATTTGTTGTTATAGAAATGGCTAGTTTATACTATTATGGAAAAGTAAAAAGTTGAGGTTCGAGGTTAAGGCTTAATTCTACTGCAACAGAGGAAGTTGGAAGTCAATGCCTTTTCTTTTCCCCTTTCCCCTCTCACTTTTTCCCCCTTCTTCCTCCCCACTGTGTCCTACTATTTGCTTCTGTATTTTATTCCATAATCTAATAAAATGTTATAAACTGTAAAAAAAAAAAAAAAGGAAAAAAGTACTGGTTTAAATTTCTTCAGTGGCGGTTCCTTTGCTCTCAGGCCACGGGGAGGACCCCTGGCGGTGCAGACTGCCCAGAGCAGTGGAGGGCAAGCACCCAGCTCAGGACAGCCTTCCCCAAGGGCCCCCCGGCTGTGCTTACCTTCTCCTCCAGGCTGCTGCTGCTGCTTGGCTCATTCTCCGTGGCCAGGTTGTTCACGTTGTGTTGGGAGGGCAAAATGTGTGGGTTAGAAGGAGGCCCAATCCCTTTCCATGCAAGGAAACCAGCTTTATAACCAAAGCATCCTCAGCGATAGAATGGGAGACCACAAGGCGAGTCAGGAGGGGGGACAAGGGGATGGCAAAAGGGTAGCAGGGCTGGTCGTGACAGGACTATGGCAGGACTTCCCTCAGACCCTGCCTCTCTCTCATTATAATCTTCTTTCCTTCCCTCCCTCTCCCTTTTCTTCTTTTTCCTTCCCTCTTCATGCTCTTTTCCTTTTTCTTCCTTCCCCTCTTTCCTTCTTTTTCCTTCCTTGCTCTCTTCCCCTCTTTCCTTCTTTTTCTTTCCTCTTTCTCTTTATTCTTTCCTATCCCTTCTTGGATGCTCAATGCAAAAGGGGAAACATTTCTTGATGCCTTCTTGCCTTGTGATCAAATGCCACTTTTGCTAGTAGTTTGTGGCCACTTAAAAGATTGAGAACAAACCAGGCTCAGTTTATCCCATGGTTGCATTTAGTGGGGGCATCCACAGACAATAGTACAGCAAAACTGTCAAAATGGTGGCTGTGATAGTTGATCAGAGCTCCTTCGTTTTTTATGTGCAACAGCTTTAGGAGCAGAGGTAGCTTAGTTGCTTTTCTATTAATACATAATTCTTAAAAGGGCTCTATTGTAGGAAGCCTGTCTTGGTCTAATTCAGACTGGAAATATAGCAGAGGAAAGTATTTTTCCCCACTCTGCTTTGTCCTATTTTCCCCACTGGAAATGGTTGTTAGCAACACACAAGGAGGGGGTACTTTCCTAAGAGCTCACAATTCAAAAATACCAGTGTTAACTTGGATTGTCAACAAAGTTCTGTCTGACAAAATAGAACACAAAATTGCTTTCACCTTTGAACAGGGGCATTTTCAACCAAATTGCCTCTCCTTCCTCCCTCCCTGGCTGACTCCTTCCTTCCTCTTTTTTTTTAAAAAAACTGCCAGAGGCTCTGGGCAGAGGTGGTAACAGGCAGACAGCAGTGGGCAGAGGCTTCACATTTTGACCCCTCCCTGTCTTTGCCTCTGCGTGACTCTCAACTCACCTCTCCCAGACCTGTGCATGTATTTGTGTGTGTGCATGGGTGGGTGGGTGGGTGGATGGGGTCTCATCCCTTGCAACCCCATGTCCTCAACAGAGACCTTCTGCAATGGCAGGCTGCAAATTAATGAAAGTTGGGTTTTTTTGGAATACTTGTTTTTCTCAACATGTCGCCGATTGCATTGCGCCCTGCCTCCCTCAGCTCCCACCCCCAGCCCCGTGGAAGGCTGCAAGAAGCTCCCATTGCAGTTTCTCTTACCTCTCCCATTCTTTTCATCCCCAATGGCACAATGTGGGGCTACAAGAGACGAGACCCCCCCAAGCATGCACATACCCACAAACAAACACATGCACAGGTCTGAGAGAGATGAGCTGAGAGCCACGCAAAGACACCAGGAAAGGGGTCAAAATGGGAAGCCTCCTGCCTGGAGCCTCTGGCAGCTAAAAAACAAAACAAAACTGAGAAGCATTCAGAAGGCAGTCACTTTCCCAGCTCCCTCTCTCTCTCCTTGCTTCTCTTTCTTTCCTCCATGCTCAAGAAGGGATGACAGGAGGGGGAGAGATTGCCATCGCTGCCAGTGGCCATGCTGCCGCCAGCCATCGCTATCCCACGTAGACAGGTGCAGTCCTGGTGAAAGGGAAGCCTGGTGGCTGCGAGACTAGGTCAGCAAACGGGCATGGCGCTGATCTACTGATGGGGGCCATCAAAGCCAGAATGCACTCAGCCTTAGATCCACAGGGCAGCTCTGGAGCCAGCAAATCCTTCCCCCCAATGGTCAGCAGGGATGTCAGGTACTCACCACCTCCTATTCATGTTCCTAGAGGGTGGGGTGGGGGCAGCCCCTCACTGGTTCTTTCCCACCAAAACCTCCTTTTATATCCTCTCCTCTTCCCCCCCCCCCATCCTCCTCCTTTTCTCTTCAGGACACTTCCAGCTTCCGAACGCACCGATTAGCTGGAGCCTGGTGCTGATCCTGGGGTTCTGCCAAGCCCCAGACAGCTCCGGCTGTCTCTCCCTTGGGCTTGTGTGGCAGTGCCCCCACTTCAGCTCATTCCTCTCCGCCCACTACCACTTCTCTAGGACAGTTGCATACCACCTGCCAAGTGCCAAAGTACCACCGGTAGTACATGTACCACTGGTTGAAAAGCCCTGATCTAGACTCTAGACGATCAAAATATTTAAGGGAGTCAATGTTTTAAAAAGCAAATTGGAAGGATTGAGCACCTATAAACAGGCACGAGATGACATAATTTTCAAAACAGAAGCAACATTTGAGTCTTTATCCACTGCCAGTTGTCTCCCACACTATCTTCTTTAAGATTCTACAAATTAAGTAGACATCGGCAGCAGTTAGGTTAGGGGTGGAAGAAGCAATGCCAGAAAAAGGAAAGATCCATATTCCAGGCGCACATTTTTCGACGGTAAATCGTCCCCTCCTGACAATTGCTCTGCGACTTTTAATTCAGTTCCATTGCCATTTGTCTAAGTTGTCAGTGAAGCCTACGACCAATCAAAATTAAAGCGAACTTTCGGGCTACCATTTTTAACTGTATTCCGCAACAATTGCTTAGAAGAACGGGGGCTCCGGGCTACCACACACACGGGAGCCTCACCTTAACGGCATAGAGTTTTCCGCCTTTGCGACCCAGATAAACTTTCCCGAAAGCACCTCGGCTGATCGGTTTAACGATAGTAAAATCCTCGATGGAGGGCGGCTGGGGTACGGTGATGCGTTTCCCGCATGAAGCGCCCCTTTCCTCCTCCCTTCTCGCAACATCTTGGGGTGCAGAAGTTTCCGCCATCACGATCGCTAACGCCACAATCCTGGCTTTTCTCGGGGCTTCCCGGCGCGCAGCCGAACAGCGGCTTCGTCCCGCGACAATTCAAAGCTAAGCTCCACCCCTTCCTCCACTTGCACGTCAACCGAAAGGACGTAAAACGTTATTAGCCACCAAAAGTAACTCACGCGGAGGGAGGGGGGCGGATTCGTCATCAACACTCGCGGCTGCTCAGTTTCCCTCTCGGCGACGCTCCTCTTAAATCCAGAAAATACTAATGTAAATGTGCCTGTTTGTTTTGGGTTTCATTTTATCTTTGCCCCCCCCCTCCCAAGCATATTAAAAACAAGCGTGATCTTTCAAGCTGTTTTATTATTCCTGAAATTACGTATTACTCCCGAAGTTTATTTCCAGCTTTCATCTTTATCAATGTTCAATAATTTAATCCAGGTATTCAGACTTTCATAGACCCACGGGAATCCCGCGAGGGTGGGATATTGTGGCAGTCAGCTAGTGAAGTTTAAGAATGGATCTGAAAATGGCCACAGCCAGTCCGGTACTAAGCAACCTCGCGACGGTGGCCTTGATCGTCCCAATTCCATTCAGAATGCTGTTCAACCCCAAGAGGAACAGGCCGGAGCGAAGATGAAAAACAGCGCGTTACAGTGCTCCCTCCAGAAACACATTTCAAACGGGTTTCAAATTAAAATCTATGAGAATAAAACTACCTTTATTACACAGGGATAGAGAGGGAACTAAATGCCCCAGACCCCTTTATTCAGCACTAACAATGCTGACGGCGAAGAGGAACTATCAGGCGCAGAAGGAAGGGATATGGGAAAGGCAGGAAGAAAGAGAAGAAGTGGCTTAGTCTCTTTTCGTCCGGGTCCAAACGACAGCTCGCTTCTGTCTCCTTTGCCTCCTCCCATTTCACTAACGCTTCCTTATAATTCGCGCAGGACAGGAGCTCAGTATCATCCCAAATTAGTTTCCCCTCCACTGCGACCATTTGACAAGAGACGGTGGGACTCGCTCAGAACGTCCCTCCCCCAACCGTCTACAAATTCGAGCCCAGGACCACCCGGATCGCTCGGTTGCTAAGAGACGGACGGGGTCATTAGGTCACCCGGAAGCACTCGTCGGAACAACCGTCAGCTGCCGGGTGGGGTTCAGCCCGGCCTGTTCCAACTGTGAGAGGCGGCCATTTTCGGGAAGAGTTGACAAACCACCGAGTCCTCTTCCCCGCGAAGAAGGAGGCCGGAGAAACCGCAGAGGAAGAGGCGCCCTCGGTCTCGACGTGTCAGACCGCTCGAGTGGCGAGAAGGATGCTTTCTTTTTCTACCACGGTGCAGCCCCAGGTGCAATGCCCTCCCCGACAACAGCTGGAAGCCGCTATTGTTCTGCGTAGTTAAGAAAACCAGGGATGGAGGGACGGGAAGGGAAACGGGGTCCTGAAGGAATGATTTGGGGAGGGAGGCTCCGAAAGGGGGGAGGACGGGAAGGCGAGGCTTCCCTGGCAGGACGCAGAGGTTTTAGACAGTCTGCGGGAGAGGAAGGAAAGCCTCTAAAAATGTGCTGGATTTTGCTTTCACGGAAGTTAGTCAAAGCCGATGAAAGCAGGCAGACGGTAGCCCCTTCCATGAAATTTAAAGGTATACTGCTGTTGAAGGGTGACACTTTCTTTAGTTATCCTTTATTTAATTAATTTATTTTGAAAAGACTCTTTACCTGGCTGTTTATTGCTTTGTGGAGATAACTTCCGTTCGTTAAACTATGACATCATATTTTTGTTCTGAGCCTACTGATTGCAAATTTACTGGGGTGATTGTGAATTAAGAACGAATAGATGTTCTGTTTCTTAATGTTACAGGCTCTTGCTCAACATTTTTGTCCTAATCTCAAATGTCCAAATCAAACACTTTGAGTTTTTGAGCATATTATCCAAATGTTAGAAGTATTGTATTAAGCCTTTATGGGAATCAAAATCTTATTTTAGGTTCAAATGAGATCTGGGGGCAGTTTTGGTAAATTCCAGGATTAGGTTCATACAAAGGCATAATTCAATAGAGAATCTATAAAATAACATGGTAACTAAACATTTTAATTCTTTTCTGATCTTGTATCCAGTCGAGTTGATTTACAACTCATAATTTGTAGTCCAGTACACCAATCTAATTAGAATAGAATAGAATAACTTTATTGTTACTTTGTACACTAATTGACATACATTAAAATGAAATTTCGTTACATACAGCTCTCAAAGGGTCACCACCTCCAATATACACTACAGAAATATGACAAAAATAAATACAGAATTATGCATATACCCACATATATTATATGACATAGAGAAACAATGTGCACGGCGAGAGAAACGAATCTTGCGAGTTTACCAGAGGGATGGCATAGGGAACAAAGCTATTACAGAATCGGGTAGTCCTGCTAGAAATACTTCGAAACCTCCTCCTAGAGGGGAACAACAGAAACAGACCGTAGAGTGGGATCTCTAACAATGCTTTGTGCTCTGAGCTCGTGCTTATAAGCAACATCCTGAATACCAGGAAGTGAGCTTCCTATGATCTTCTCGAATGTCCTTATTGGTCTCAAAGTTTGCTTTGTATAGAAACAAAGCATTCTGAAGTTACAAGGATACAAACTAAGATAATCTGAATCAATCGTTTCAAAGTTATGACTTTGGATCCAGATCCTATATTACAACAAAAGATTGATCTTCCAGTCTTAAAAAGTGTATTTTATTATTTTGACTACAAACAACAGAGCCACTTTGACCTGGTGGTTAAGGCCAAAAGTAACTCTCAGTCTAATCTGCCTCATAGGTTTGTTGTAGGGACAATAGGAGGAAGATGTGTTGGATATGTTTGCCACCTTTAATTATTTAGTAAAAATAACAAAGGTGGATACAAATAAAAATAAACTGCCAAAATCTGGGACAAGTTGCATGTTACCTTTAATCTCAGTTGATGAGAAAATGAGATGATTTTTAATGGAAATTACAAAAAAATACAGAAAGTCCCTTACCCTCTGTTGTTTATTTATTTAGTACACTTATATACTGCCCATGTCATTTTACAATAAAAAAACAAGATAAAAATTTTAAAACAATAAGTAATAAAACTTAAATTGGTTTAAAATGAGCAAGATGGGAAAGAAAGCAGCAAGATGCATGCAGAGAGGAGATGGCATTTTACCCATTAACCATCTCCAGAATGACATGCCCCCATTAGGCCCCAGGTCAGGTGACAGAGCAGGTCTTCAGGCTCTTTCAGAAGGCCAAAGAGTTTGGCCTCATTTTGGTGGTAAGGCACAAGATCTATGGTAGAAAAGGCTCTTTTCCTGGAACTGCCAGCTGGAATTCCTTGACTGACAGAATCCATGGCATGCCTCTTTTGCTAGCATGGGTGGAATTGGCAATCCCATCAGGGCGAGATAACTTGGTCCTGTGCAATGATGGCCTTTAAAGTTTTAACCAACTCCTTGAATTGAACCTTGGAAGCAAATTGGCAACTAGCAAGTTGGTTTGCAGAACATCAGTATAACATGGCCTGCCCTACGGGCCCCAAAGTTTTTCACACAATTGCTTTCTGCACCAGCTGGAGCTTCCAAATACTGTGTAAGAGTAGCCCCATGTACAGTATGTTGAACTAGTTCAACCATGAGAGCACCAGGGTTTGAGTAACTGAATGCAGGAAATTCTGATCCAGGAAAGGACACAATTGGTGCACAATACATAGTTAGACAAAGCTATCTGGGCCACAGCTGCCACGTGCCAGTAGCTATTCCAGGAGAACCCAAGTTGCATGTTAGGTCTATCTGGAGCAGTGCTACTTCCGTCCCAAAGTAAAGATGTTAAAGTCCCGATCCTGAAGCTCCACACACCAAAAGCCTCTTCATCTTACCAGGGTTCAGCCAAAGTCTCTTGTCCCCCACCCAAGCCTCACAGCCTCAGCAAGAGGGCAATGACAGCAGCACTTGGGCCACCAGGGACGGAGAGGTAAAATTGAATATCATCAGCATACTGGCAATACTCCATGGTAGGCAGATGATCTCACTCAGTGGCTTCATAGATATTAAAAAGGAGTGGAGAGAGAACTGAACCCTGTGGCACACCACAAAGAAACAGCCATGAACTGGACTTTTCATTCCCTATCTACACCAATTGAGACTAGCCTTGGAGAAAGGAGCTAAATCTGCACAAGACTGCACTATCCAGCTCCAAACCATGTAGCTGGCCGAAAAGGATACCATGGTAACTGGTACTGAAGACCTGAGAAGTCAAGGATGGATACACTGGGACCATCCCAATCTTGCCTGAGATCAAGTGCAACTAATCTCTTTCTATCCCAAAAACGGGTTTGGACCCTGGCTGGATATTATGTATTAAACAAATAGAAACAATATTCTTCCTTTGTTTACATTATTCAACTATTTATCTTCTAAGAATAACATTGTGCATTAATGGATTGGTAGTTACTATAGGTGAAATACAAACTGGACAACACATAATTTGCATAATTGATCATTTTGACCTAAATGTCAGTTTCAAAGCTCATCCGTAGATTGTAAACATTTTCAGTACATTTTTATTAATGTAACATTGTTTCAAAAATCTATCATAATATAAAATTTTCACATACCTAAAAACAATCAGGGGAAGATATTAATTTGGAAATATTTGATGTCAGTAGGTGTTATCTATATCAGTTATGTTGTCATATTGGATGATGCCAACAATACATGCTTGGCTTATTTTCAGATAGTTTTGCAAACATGATAAATAAGTACATTATTATTTTCTGTATAGCAACTACTAGTGCTATACATGTTCCCAATTTCAGTTTTCTAATTTAATTGGGAGCATTTACAAGAATAAAGTATTTCACAAAATCAAAATATTAACAATTCAGAGAAAATAATTATTTTGCTAAGTGAGAGGAATTTTTTATACAATATATCCTGCAGTAGTGAATTGATTGCTTCTAAAAGTTTGTAAATATTTGCAAAATTAAATTAGTTTTTTATGATTTCAATCTTTCTGTTACTAAAATTTTCTGTGATACTGATTCAGTGTTTAAAATGTGTTTTGAAATATACAGCAACAGCTGTTTATCTTGTTAATGCAAAAATAGACTACATTATTCCTGGAAGCTTAGGGTTTTACAGTTATTTAAGAAAAACCAAATTATATAATATGTGATTTAATATACCTTGTATTTTTACCAGGTTACAGTTTCTTTGAGCCACCTCATAAATGCATTTCATTCACCCAAAAGTTTAACACAGTCTTTCATCCCAACGTCCACCCAGTCTGTACAGAAAGAAGCACCACCTGAACATGATGTGTTGAACCCTGAAGTAAGAATTCTTGAATGGTGTAATTTATTTATAAATATCTTTCATATAATTTATACTTACATAATATAAGAGAATTTGGGGAAAATTAAAAAAATGTATATAAAAAGCATTTGTTTAAAAAAAGGATATATATGTCTCTCTCCGTGTGTGTGTGTATAGACACAGACACACACACAGAGAGATATGCACATAAACACATATATATAGATATATCCTAAAAATACCTTTTTCTTTAAACAAATGTTTTTATATACATTTTATTTTCCCCATATATAGCTATGCTTTTTCTCCAGAATTCATAACATTTGCTTGCTGTTCACTCCTGTAAAAGGAGTAATAAAAAAAATCAGTAAGTGTACTTGATTTTTTTATAATATGAAAATGTTATAGAGACTTGGGTGGAATTATACACTTCTGAGAAAAATTCTATTACATTGATAGGGCTGCCTAGCTCTAAATATGTGCCCATAGGATTTCAATATGAACTCCTAAAGAAATTAAATATATCTTTGAGATTAAGTGTTGATTAATTTGATAGCATATTCTGAAGGAGATAACGTGTAACATGACTATTAAAGAGCATTTGTTATTTAACTTACACATCCCATGTTTAAATATTCTAATAATTTACTGCTGTTGTAAATAAATAAATAATGGTATTTATTTAATATTTATTCTCTCTGAAACAAAAACAGCTTTTTATAAATCTGGTACTTAAGCACATAAGAATCATGGTTGTTTTAAAGTTAAATGTTATTTTTGAAGTAATCCAATTTTTAATTATAATTTGAAGCCTTTATTTTTTTACAGCCATTACTTAATCTACGAGACCTAGGATTGAGTGATTTGAAAATTAGCCAACTTGATGAAATAGTGAACAAGCTGATTCCTGGTTTTGGTGAAGAAAATAAAATACCCTCACATTGGCAAACATCATATGTATCGGCACAGTCTTTTTTTGAAAATAAATATGGTATGCTTTGGGATGATATTTTAACATATTTGGGCCAAAAAGTAACTTAATGTATTCCTAAATTGTATCACCCATAAGTAATGCTTCTATAAGGTGCTTTAATTCTATTGCTGTTTTATTGTAATGCAATTCAAAATGCAGAATTCTTACTAATTTTATTTCTGGCTTTTGCTATTTTTCATCTAGGATTACTTGTTTACCTTATATAGCTTGATTATACTGGTATAATGGTCAAACATAGTTAACTATAATTTTCAAATATAGAATTAATACAGAAAACCATCATTTTAAATAAATAAATAGCAGTATCAGGCCCAAATAACCAGAGCCACACATGAAGAGTTCAGTTAGCTATTTTATTGTTCAAGCATATGCACAGAAATTTTCTTAGACTGATAATTTGCAACTAGGTAAGGTTCCACAGCATTCAAGGAGGGGTTCAATTTCACTTTATTGTGCTCACATAGATATTCTAGACTAAATCCCTGTTTGACTTTGGCTTGGCCAGTCTCTTTCCTACAGGCAAAATTTTGTCTGCTCTTAGCCCCTTAATCCATCTTATTTCTAGTGCTATGTTAATATTATTTTCCCTGCTTTTGTTTTCTCTTGGGTCTGAAATATACCTTGTGTATATTTATAGAATTAGTATTCTGACTTCAACATGGATCTTAAGATAGTATATGCCTTTTCCAGAGATTAAGTAGACCATATTTGTGTATCTTTTTCAAAACTGCTATACTAATATACACACATACACATGAACACACACAGGAGGAGGAGGAGGAGGAAGAGAGAGAGAGAGAGATTTTGTCTGTGTGTGTGTGTATAAATATATAATATGTTTCTTCAGAGCAATCCTTACTAGTTCACCTTATGTTGTTTTTTCTAATTACAATATTGTCTAGGGTCGAAGAATCCTGTACAGCACTGAAACTCACTGGATTACTTTGGCCTTATTATCTTTTCTTATCTCAATCTACCTGACAGGATTGTTAGGATGAAATATATCTTCCTCAACTCCTAGAGAAAAGATAGGATTGAAATGTTAACAGTCTAAATAAATAATTTCTCATTTAATTGTTTATTCCATTCTACCATGTGCAATGAGTCTAATATGGCTAAAGTTTTGACTGACATTGGGGAAACTTATATGTTATAGTTCTCTCTTAAGCACTCTTCCTCAGCCCAATCTACCTGACAGGAGTCTTGTGTAAAATGAGAGGATGAAGTATAGTACACCATTTTCAGTTACTGAATGAAAGATGGAATATAATTCAAAGAAGTGAAGACTGGTTTGTTATGATAGAAGCTTCACTTTCAGATAAAAATCGTAATTATTCACTAAAGATGTAATTTTTTTTATAACTGGAAATTGTTAAACCTTTATCATGCATACTGCCATTATCTCAGTATAATTCTTGTATTTGCAAGATTATTGTTGGAATTTGCATGTACAAGCAGGGCTTTTTTTCTCATAGAACGCCCAGAACGGAGTTCTGGCACCTTTTTTGGATGGAACCTTGTAGGGTAGGCAAGGCGGGTTGTATGATGTGTGTGAGTTCCGGCACCTTTTCTTTTCTTTTTTTTTTTTTAGAAAAAAAGCACTGTGTACAAGTTACTCTCGAGATGCCTAGCTCAGTTATATTTAAAATCTATATTCACTCCATTTTTCATGTTTTGTTGTTGTTGTTGTTGTTAATTGCGAAGTCGTGTCCAACCCGTCGCGACCCCATGGACAACGTTCCTCCAGGTCTTCCTGTCCTCTACCATCTTCTGGAGTCCATTTAAATTCACACCTACTGCTTCAGTGACTCCATCCAGCCATCTCATTCTCTGTCGTCCCCTTCTTCTATTGCCCTCAATCTTTCCCAGCATTAGGCCCTTCTCCAGTGAGTCCTTCCTTCTCATTAGGTGGCCAAAGTATTTGAGTTTCAACTTCAGGATCTGGCCTTCTAAAGAGCAGTCGGGGTAGATCTCTTCTAGGACTGACCGGTTTGAACGCCTTGCAGTCCAAGGGACTCGCAGGAGTCTTCTCCAGCACCATAGTTCAAAGGCCTCAATTCTTTTGCGCTCAGCCTTTCTTATGGTCCAACTTTCACAGCCATACATTGCAACTGGGAAAACCAGTTTTCATGTTTAGAGTTTGCTAAGTGCACTTTCCTGTTCAAATCTATATGGATTGCATATAGGCAGTTATCTAAATGGATTGCATATAGGCAGTTATCATTTTTCTGATGACATGGGTTCATAATGGTGGATAGAACCTTGCTATATTACAAATTGCTAACATAAGTAAATAGCATTTGGGAAGCTATATTCAAAACTAAATTTGCACCTACTATTAATTGATTTAAAGAATTTTTGCTTTTTGTGCTTACACAGTTATTTAAAAGTCAGATACATTGATCTATATAGTTAATTTTTTTCATATTTTCTCTGACCTTTGGTCCTTCTTATAGTAGAAGTTAGTCCTTAAGAAGGCTTATATCTATTAATCCAAATTCTAAACAAGGAATACATAGTATGTATCATGTTTAGCCTTGTTCACTTTCCTGAGTTGTGAGAGGAAAGTAATAATCTGCTTACTCATACACAAATCTCTTATTCTTTGTTCTCTTCCAGCTATCATACCACAATTTTAACTAAGCATGAAATATTCAGAGTGAATTTTGATTTTGTATACTGTATATCATCATTGCAAAGTTGCTTGGTTTATTTAAGGGACCGCATTAGCATATTGTCTAATTTACCAAAACAGTATCATATCAAATCTCGTGTATGTATATAATTTAAATTTTTTAAATGCACAAGATCTTATTCCAGTAAGACCTAAATAAATGGTAAATAACTTTTTATTCTTTCCTAGGTTTTGCAGACACATTTAGAGTTTTACGTTCCTCTTACCTCTACAGACAGCATCCTAATCCTCCCCGGAGTATATGTTCCAATCTTCAATATTGGCCAGGTAGGAAGTAAAAATATTTCTTTTTCCAAAGTAAAAGAAATATGGCTTGGATCCAGAGTTTCCATAGTAGAACATATCTTCCTCTGTATAAAGGAGTTCCCTAAAAGCTTTTTCAAAGAAAAATAATCCCCTGTATTTCATGTGGTAGAAGGAGAGCTAGTTCATAGTATACTATAGTACATGCAGTCCTTGTCTTACAACAGTTTGTTTAGTAACTGTTCAAAGTTTTAACAACACTGAGAAAAGTGACTTATGGTCTTTTTTCACACTTACAAATGTTGCTGCATCCCCGTGGTCATTTGATCAAAATTCAGATGCTTGGCAACTGACATGACAGTTGCAGCGTGATCAACTTTTGTGACCTTTTAACAAGCAAAGTCAATGGGGGAATCCAGATTCACTTACCAACCATGTCACTAACTGAACAATTGCATGATTCATTTAACAAATGTGACAAGAAAGTTCATAAAATGGAGCAACATTGACTTAATAAATGTCTTCCTTAGCAACAGAAAATTTGGGGTCAATTGTGGTTGTAAGTTGAGGACTGCCTGCATATAGAGCATTAATCAAGCAGGGAATTACAGCCCCATAGAGATTACAGAAGTATAAGTCCCAAGTGTTCCAATGAGATGATGCTGGTGTTATATGCAATTCAATAACTTTTGGGAAAATCGCAAACATTCTATCAATAATATAGAAGGTAACACTTCAGCCTTGAAGGAATTGTTAACATTTTAAAGTACATCTGATTAGTTATGAAGAATTTCTTTAGAATTACTACATTATTCAATAAGGCTCATTTAAGGCATCACTGAACTATTTCTGATGTCTCAGCTACAATGTAAACTGTGTAAACTGTTTGTATTTAAGGCCAGGAATTGGCATGTATACCCTCTGTTTGTAGGCAAGTCTGGATTTACTGGGAGTTACTGAATATAATTTCAATTGTAATTTCTATAAAGTATGAAAATAAGTGCAAGAATATATTATTATACTATTTTCCTACTCAGTAATAAACTATATAAAATAAGCAAATGTTTCAGAGAGCTATTATGAAATAACTTGTTTAAATAGAATGGGTTTTAATTATTACCAATCTGTTGTAATTTATTCTGTGTAGTGTACACTTCTATGGACTTTTCAAAGCAATCAGAATAAACGGTCTTTGAACACTATGAGCACAACACTGAGGATCTTTTATTCCTTATAACTTCACTCTTGAAAGAAGTTTGCAGTTCTCTTGTGAGATTTTGATTACTTCAGTTAGAATCACAATCTATCAGCCCTTTTCTGCCTTGCAAATGCTATTTGGCTTTCTCACTGGTTGTAAGGGTAGGAATTGATGAAGACACAGCAGATCGAAAAGATTAACTAAAGTATTATTTATTTCTCTCTACAGCTATTCACAATTTCATATTGATAATGTTTGAATATATGTATAGGTAATTCTTGATTTACAACCGCAATTGAGCCCAAAATTTCTGCTGCTAAGCAAGACGATTGTTAAAGTGAGTCATTTTTTGACCCATTTTTTGACCTTTTTTGTTAAGTAAATCATTGCAGTTGTTAACTGGCTTCCCTCATTGACTTTGCTTGTCAGTAGCTCCCCAGGAAGATTGCAAATGACAATCCCGGGACACTGCAACCACTGTAAATGCATGCGGGTTGCCAAGCAACCAAAGTTTGATCACATGACTGGCAAGATGTTGCAATAGTCATAAGTGAAAACTGGTCTAATTCACTTTTTTCAGTGCCATTGCAACTTTGAGCGGTCATTAAACGAACGGTTGTAAGTCAAGGACTTCCTGTAGAAGTGAATGCAAAAGCAGTATTAAAGAAATGATGTCTTTTTAACTGAGGCAAACATGACGTAAAAAAAAACAGTTCTTAATTTGTAAAGGGCTATCTCATACATCATTGTTTTAGTTCTTTTCCTCTCTGCCAGTTCTTAACTTCCTCCCTGTCTGCTGTAGATGTTTCCTGGTGCCTTCCCACTCCTCAGCTGTGTATCATCTAGGCCAGGGGTAGGCAGCCTTGGCTCTTTTATGACTTGTGGACTTCAACTCCCAGCATTCCTGAGCCAGCATGGGAGTTGAAGTCCACACGTCATAAAGACTCAAGGTTGCTAATCCCTGATCTAGGCTCTCTCTTTCTCAGTTCTGATCTCAGTTGGTTACTTATTTCACAGGCATCTCCTGCAGGACTTGAAACACACACACACACACAAACACACACACAACGCAAAGTTAAAACTTTCTTCTTATTATGAATCTTATCTCTAACATGCTTACATGATGTTTGGCAGGTTGTTTCCATTTATTTTATTTTCCTTGCCTCCTTGCTCATATCCTTGCATTCACCCAAGAGATCCCTCAGAAAACAATTCCTTTAACCTAGATATGTATATTTCTACAAAAAAAATCAAGTTCTCAAATATGGCAGTTCACACTGCTACAGTGGTGCTTGGGTAGCTATTCTGGTATTGAAAATTTGAAACTTTGCACACAGAATTACACATTGAGAAATAATTATATAGCTTTTTATAGTTCAATATCAATTCAGGATCAGTATCTAAGCAATATACCAGATAAGATATTGAATACATCTCATTTTTTTCTCTCACATGTTTGTAAAGAATAATAGCTCTCTTTGTGTATTAAGTTCTCATTCAGTCTCGAGGATTTAAGACTCTGAAATCAAGAGCAAGACGGCTACAGTCCACATCAGAACATTCAGCAGAAGCAGAAGATGTAGCTCCCTCATTTGTAAAGGTAATTATGAAAATGTGCACATTGTGTTGATAACTGAATCCTACACCTTTTCCAGTGACTATTACCATGTAATGTCCTCCACACACATAGTAAATTTGAAGTTAGCAAATGTAGTCAAATGTCAAGCAGATATAGAAATATTACCAAGTGTTGAGGACTTTATGCATCAAGTTAGATGTGCAAATAGTGTTAGATTAATTATATTTTTAAATGATTGTACAGGCAGTGAAGGATTAAAGAACATGTATAAATAAGTGAATAAGCACAATAATTCCTGTGAAATACTTGGATTAGACTTCACCTAATTGATGTTTGTTAGCTATATTAGGCTTCTACTACCATAATAGCTTAGTCAAGGGTATCAGGTTATGGAAAGCAAAACTAAATAATAAGACTTCATAATTAATATAGGACTTTAATTCAAAACTTAGTAATCTTTGCATCTTAATATATAATTTTAAAAGTATTTTTAAGACCAAATTATTACAAGATTGCCACAACTTTAAAATCTTATAAAATATTGGTAGTTCTCTTCAACTCTTGGGAAAGTTTATTGAGATTTTTGAAGATTGGTTTGTTTAAAATCATTTAAAATTTTGAAGGATTCCCAAAGATATGGTGAGGGGTAAAATAGGTGATAGAGTGTTCATGAAAGCTGCATTACCAGTCCATTCTTTGATTAGTTATATGTTTATTATTAGTTTATTAATTTTATACGCTAAGCAAGTTTCCTTGATTGGTAGTTTTAAGACCTCTTCATGTAAAGAGTTAAAAATTGTTTATTTGGGGAAGACACGTTAACTTAAAAGTTCAATAATTCTTGGGTTTAGAACTGCACTTTTAGAAAAAAACATCACTTTGTTAATATCCAGTGTATAATCCTTTTTTTTTCTTTTCTAAAATTAACCTACATAAGTGGAATGTGACAACTCTTCCTGACTGTCTCACCACAGGTGACTTGCCATGGCCATCTCGCCACGGTAGACTCACCGTGTCTAACAACTATGGGACAATTCAACACGATATAACTCAAGAGAATTGCAGCTTACCCCAGCCTCAAGAACTTCTAACTTGAGAAGATTCAAACCTAAAGCAAGATATTGCCCATTGCAATTCACTTATCCCTCTCTTGAATTATCCCCAGTTGTTCTGTGTTGAACTGGTCAGGGTGAGTTGTCCTAGACGCTGTGTAAATTTTTAAAAAAACAAATGTTTGACTAATGCCATGAAATTGCATATGACAGAAATATAAATACTTATGGAGAAATTTGTTTTAACATGAGATTTGGTAATTTAAAAAAATAATGTTTTTCCTGTTTTGTTCTTAGGGTCTTTTACTGAGAGAGAAAGTATCTGAGATTGAAAGCTTAGACAAACTGATGAAAAGAAAAAACATACCTGAAGCTCATCAAGATGCTTTTAAAACTGGGTTTGCAGAGGGTTTTTTGAAATCACAGGCCCTTGCACAGCGTACAATTGGTCAGTTAATCTGTTTTTTTAAAGCAGATTTTTGTAATCATTTGTAAATTTCCTTTCCTTTTAATATTGGGAAAACATTTTAAATATGCAGTAAAATGAATTCCTTTATGCCTGTTTTGTCTAGTAATACGTAAGTACATTTCCCCTCAAATGTAAGATGATCAGTTGGTTTGTTTGTAATAGTTTTCTTCTTTCTTTGAGGCCAGTTCCAGCTGGTGTTACTAGATGGGGAGAAAACCTCTGCTTTGTGCATTTTGCAGAGTTTCACTCCCTATTCAAAATAGACATCTATATGAAGTTGCTGGTGAGGCATCTCTTGATACAAGATTAAGTAACAATAGTGTATTGATGATACTCAGCTATACATCTTTGTTTCAGGTCATCTAAGTTATTGTTTCTTTCCCGATGCCTGGAAGCGTTGAGAGTCTGGTTGGGGAAAAAAGCATTGTTAACCTAGAGAGGATACCCTTCCCCAGACTGAGTTGTGCAATTTGAGGGTTATTCTAGACCAGTGGTTCTCAACCTGTGGGTCGGGACCCCATTTGGGGTCGAATGACCATTTCACGGGGGTCACCAAACATGGCTGTCCGCCTTTTTCCCCCCTTTTCTTTGGCCACGCCCCTGGCACCCGGTAATGTATAAGTGATTGGGGGTCACCACAACATGGGGAACTGTATTATGGGGTCATGGCATTAGAAAGGTTGAGAACCACTGTTCTAGACTCATGGTTCCTACTTGAAGAGCAGATGGCAGCTGGCACTTTGCACTATACCATCTTGTGTACCAGTTATCCTATTCCTAGACTGAGAGACACTTCCTATAGTCACTGATGGCATATTATCCAGTTGAATTATTACAATGTAATGTATGGGAGGGAGGCTTCCTTTGAAAAGCATTGGAAGCTATGAAACTATGTCAGGACCTAGGAGGCGTGCCTTCTCTGTCACAATGCCAGCTGCTTGGAAGACTCTGGTCCTGATTCTGGGAATGTTCTGGAAGCCTTGAAGATCTGGCTTTTCACTCAGATGCCAAAAATCTAATAACGTATGTTTGGTTTTTGGGTTATCAGAAAATCTATAAGGAGTCTAGACTTTTTATTTTAATTTAGGTGTTGTTTATATATTTTATGTTGTTCTTATTTCAGTTTTTGTCAACTGCACAGATTAATATAGTTAATATGTGCATCATAATTAACTACACAAATATTCTTTTTTCCCTTTCAGATTCCTTAAGACGAACCCGATTATTTGTCTTTCTAGCAGTGTTGTTTGGTATTTATACTGTGTTAAAAAGCCAGTTCTTACCTAAAGGCTCTTTTTCTGATGCTGGTTTGTTAACTTTTCATTCTACTAAATTTTTAATTTATTATTATTTACTATTTTATTATGCTATGTTAGACTTAAATTTAAAACTCAAGTTATTCTGTGTCTGATTGTTAAAGAGTATATTTAAGTAGAGGAAAGAGTTCCCCGAAATATAATGAAGACTAAGAGAAAGAGGTTACTTTTATATCTGTATCTTTGTTTTATATTCATCTGTTTGACGTATTTTTGAATAACTTACGTAGAGCACAACTTGCTTTTTCTTCAGATCAGATAAATAATCCTAGCAGGCTTAATAATAATACCTCTTTTGTTTTTCAGTACCCATTTATTGCGGTATCAACCATTTCAGTACTTATATATTGAACAATATCAGAATCATAATTTTAATGACATATTTTGTGTCTTCTTGAATCTTTGGGAAGCCTGTGATCAGTATTTTAATTATAGAAAATTTGAAGATGTTCTTATTGTAGAAATGAAATGCCTGGATGATATGAGTCCAACATTTGATACAAGTGGGAAAACGTCTAATTGAGTAAACAGGTGCTAATGGTTTGTGTAAATACTGAGACTGAAGCATTACTAAAGCTGAACGTATTGGTAATTGCTTTTGGATGTCCTTTGTAAGAGTGAAGGGAAAGTATAATTATGAATATCAGGTAGTTCTGCATTATTATGGTATTTTATTATTATTTATTAAATAAATTTATATAGCTGCCCAAATCATAAAAGGACATTGTTACAGATGAAAATTTCTTTTCATCATATTTATTTAGATTGTAATTTAAATGGCCACCTATCTCTGGGTATCTAAGTAGCTTTAAAACATCAGTGCCAGAACAAATAACAGCAATAACCAATATATTGTACAAAAATTAAGTGAATGAAAAAAATATTTGATTAGATAAATTCTTTTGCAGTACGTTTTCGAGCAAGTTCTGGGCTTGATGCAGCAGTGGATCCTATTCAGATGAAAAATATTACCTTTGATCACGTGAAAGGGGTAGGTTCAAACATTGGATGTCTTCCAATTGTGCGATAGAATTGAAGCAATCAAATAAAACATAAATACTTGATAAATCTAAAAGGACAGGAGTCAATTTGCATAAAAATGTCACTGGGACAAGAAAAGTGAAGTGAATAAATTATATTGTGGATGAATAAAACCTGATACTTTTATTTAAAAAAGGTATAAGTAACAGATCTGAAATAGCAGAATGGCCCAATTTTGCTGTACTTAAAATGAATGTTTTGATAGTTGAGCTGTCAGAGTTGTGACCTCAGAATTTTTTTACTATAATACTTTTCTGTATATTCTCTCTCCTGTGCTGCTAAGCATCTGGCAGAATATCTTTGTCTAACAATTGCTTCAAATTGGCATACCATAATGTTGCCCAGATGTATTCTAATTACTTTCTTTTGTCATGGAATCCACTGTTTAACTAGAGCTAGAGAGCAAGTTGCTATTTTTCACTTTTTAAATTATTTAAGCATTACATAATATAAACTCACAGGGTTTGATTTGTGTTTGTTTCAGCATTGTGTTCCAAAAAGTTATATAGCAATTAATTCCATTTCCCTTTTTAACTAAGTGCACGAGTAATTGTTTTTTGCAATATTTTTAATGTTAGTAAATATTTCTACCAAATTTGCTCTCATGGACCACAGATCAGCACACTGTGATGATAGTATCCAATGGGAATTTGTGTTTCTTAAAATAATCTATTCTGTTCTTATTTTGCCAAGAGACACAGACTGCCTTGGATAATAAAGAAAGGTTGTACTTAATGTGTGAAATGGTATAATGAAGTCAAATCCCATTTAAGTTTCATTAAAAGTAATATCTTTAAAAGTAGCTTTATGTAAGACAATTATATAATTAACATGTCAGAAGCATATTTCAAGCATATTGAAATTATAGTAGTCTTAAATAACATTTTCTTAATTGTATTCAGGTAGATGAAGCTAAGCAAGAGTTGCAGGAAATTGTAGAATTTCTGAAAAATCCCCAGAAATTTACCATACTAGGAGGTAAACTCCCTAAAGGTAAGCGCGAACCTTTTCTTATTGTAAGTATGAACCTCTTCTTACTATTACAATCTAGTCTAATCTTGTATGATTTTTGTAAACCAGATACAATTTAATATAAACCAGATACAATTTAAAATACTCTTTGATTACATTCAAATAATTTATTCTCACTCTGAATTATTAAGTTGGTTTTAAATCTTCGGGGGGGGGGGGAAGAGTTAGGCAAAGATGAGATTGCCTACAGAAATCTTTTGTTCCCCCTCCCCCAGCAGAGACTGGAGAGAAAGAGATTTCAAGAGAGCACTGTAAGCTCTTTGCAATCAGGCTACCGCATGATCACACTTTTGATGTGTAGGAGAACAAACAGTTTACTCTCTTGAAACCTCTTTCTTTTCAATCTCTGCAAGGAGGAATGAAAGGAAAAAAGATCAGTCAGGCATAGGACAACGTGCACTCAGTGAAATATCAATCATATAGCTGAGGGTCATAAATGGGCCATGAAGTAACTTTTCCAGAACTGTTGTAACTTCAAGTTGCTGAATGAAGGGTCAGTAAGCAAGCTCTACCTGTACTTGTTTCTAAGTAATAAAATTGCTTATTAAAAAATTACAGAACTTGGGACCAATATTAACAATAATATTGATATTCTTTTCATTCTTTTATCTTTCTAGGTGTTCTGTTGGTAGGTCCACCTGGTACTGGCAAAACTCTGCTTGCCAGGGCTGTGGCAGGAGAAGCCGATGTTCCTTTCTATTATGCTTCTGGGTCTGAATTTGATGAGATGTTTGTTGGAGTGGGAGCCAGCCGTATCAGAAATCTATTTAGTAAGTTTTGGGTTTTCCCTTGAATCCCATTTAGTGAAAATAGCATCAGTGCCTTATTAGTAAATGGATAGCACATTTTTTTTGTTAACTACATTAGAAATTAATGAACATCACAAATATTCAAATGTATTATCTTTCAAACTATTTGCAAAGACTCCATTGTAAATGAAAATGTGAGTGAAAAAAATATAACTCCATTTCTGGAGTTTATTCAGAGATTAGCTTTTGTGAATAAAGAAAATACATTATGATGGAAAAATCTCATGACTTTTGCACTTTATAAAGATTATAAAGATTTTGATGTGTTACTTTCTTAGAGGAAGCAAAAGCAAATGCACCTAGTGTTATATTCATTGATGAGTTGGATTCAGTTGGTGGCAAACGAGTAGAATCTCCAATGCATCCCTACTCAAAGCAGACTATAAACCAGCTCCTTGCTGAAATGGATGGGTAAGTGTTAATTTTTCTTCTAACTAATTTTTTAGTTTCATTCTAATAAAAGCAATGGGTATTGAACCAAGTTAGAAACATGGCCCATCAATATTGAGAAATCTTTTATTTTTTATAGGAAGAAAAGTTTTTTTATTTTTGCCATAGGATCCATAAACTGTCTTCTGTGCTTAAATATCTAGATATTGGCGATTTGGGGTGAATGCAAAATCCTATTCAGAGTTAAAGACAATGCAGATACTCAAGTAGGGAATAGTATTAAAATCAGATGTAGATGAAAAGTAGTGTAGTGCATTCTTCAAAAATGAATCAGCTTAAGTATTTTGAACCTTATATAAGAAAAGCATTTTTCTGATACTTGAGAAATTTGCTTATTAAACAATACCTATATTCCTACAAGTTCTGAAAATTATATTTCTATAACCATTTCCAAAGCATGTACATTTCTATTCAAAAACTAATTTTCAAGTTTTCTTTCATTTTAAAAGTTAAACTATGCTTTTGTTAAACTCCTACTAGTATTGCTGCTGTTGCATGCACTGAATATGAATAAAATCATTTATTGTCTGATGTGCAAAGTCACATGCTCAAGGAAGTGTTAGCTTCAACTGGAAAAAAAATTCTCCACTCCTATAAAACAAAGGAAGCATTCTTTGGAAATCTGCTGAATATGACTTGCTAGGTCTAAAATAGCTAGGGAAAAATCACTGTAAGTATTTTAATTACATTTTTTTGTCTTTTTGAAGCTTTAAATCTAATGAAGGAATCATTATCATTGGTGCAACAAACTTCCCTGAAGCACTAGATAAGTAAGTCTGTGTGAATATGCATATGAGTATAAAATACAATTCTGCATGATTTGATTTTATATGAATATGACTTTGGTAGTTTAGGACAGTAATAAGGATGCATAATTAATAATCCTGCCAATATTCCTTGTCTTCATAATTAAGTAATTAAGAGAATAGCTATATTTTGCTGGAACAACCATTCTAAATGCAGTTAGTACATTTGAAATGTAGCTGTGCAATGTTTGTTCTTAAATAGTTTTCTAAGAGTTTCTTGTGCTCACAGTTATTGAGAGATTTTCTGTGGAAAGCAGCAGAAATCAGAAATGTATTAACAACTTTTCTTATTAAATTGCCTTTTAAAATATTTTAATATAAATATAATATAAAAATTAACCAAGATTATCATTCATAGTATCTTTTTCCTTCCCTGTTTAGTGCTTTGTTACGCCCTGGCCGCTTTGACATGCAAGTTACAGTCCCCAGGCCAGATGTCAAGGGACGAACAGAAATTTTGAAATGGTATCTTAATAAAATAAAATATGATAAGTGTAAGTGCTGCATTTTAAAATAAAAACAGAAAATTGCCATCAGGCTGGCTGCATTAGAAATGCATGTATTTCTGATTGAGGTTGAAGTTCTTCCCATTAAGATGAATAATATGCTTAATAGAACATGCTCATTTATAGGGTACAGGTGTGCTATTTAAGCATTTATAACTATACTTACAACTAATGTTTATTAAGTGAAAACTGAATTAAAAACTGATATACTGCTTGCTGCACCTAAGAACTGTCTTATATTTTTAGGAAAAGATAAGGAAATTGATTCAATCATTTCAACAATTCTATTTGTTTCTCATGTCACAGTTCTTATTCAAACATTATGATTATAAAAATGGTAAATTCTTAAAGCTGGATTATCATAAAAAGTCTATTTAATGCAAAACTCTGCATCTTTAAGTTTATTGTGTCTGCTGACTTGGCTGAATATTAACATCAATTTGGATTGACAAATGCAATGTGTCTGTTTGCACAGCCATTAATCCAGAAATCATTGCAAGAGGCACAGTAGGATTTTCTGGAGCTGAATTGGAAAACCTTGTGAATCAAGCTGCATTAAAAGCAGCAATTGATGAAAAGGATATGGTTACTATGAAGGAGCTAGAATTTTCAAAGGACAAAATTGTCATGGGTAGGTATTATGTTTTAAAATCACTTATTTAGATAGATAGATAGATAGATAGATAGATAGATAGATAGATAGATAGATAGATAGAATTATAACAGTAACTTTTATTTTAATATAAAATATAAAACAGTATAATAAATCCTCATTTTAATAATCAAGATAAAAGATGTGCCTACATGTCTGTTAAATAATTATGTTAATTTAGGTCATGTGTGACAACATTATCACATCTAAGATCTTATGGAAATGATGTGAATTGCCATCCAGATTTGGTTCATTGCATGTGATCATGTTATATCAAAATTTACAGCATCCCTGTACGAGATATATTTTTACAGAGACATGAGATTCTCATGTATGTTGAATTCCATTAAGTTAAAAGAAAGCTTTATTTGGGTTATTTTCAGGGAAATCACACAGCTGTTACAATATAATTATATAACAACCTTCAGAAATAAGTTTAATTAAATAGACGTTACAAATAACACTATTTAGGGAGTGAGGTGCTGGGAATATAAGGGGCTTGGTTTAGGCCCTGTGTTTCAGACATTTCTATGCTGTGTCTGTGGGACATATAGATTTTGTGGCCTGCCATGAGTGCTATTTTGCTGATGTGAAGAAGATGTGGAGTTTGTATTGGCCTTGAAAGGCAGTTGGGCTGTCATGAGGCTTGGTGAGCTGCTAGCCAGGGTTGATTTAGAATCAGCTGTGGTTTAGCAGAAACCTGAAAAAGGTTCTCCTAGAAATGGGCAATGTTTTGGCTGAGAGGGACAAAAGTCAAGCAGCGCTGAGTGCACTTCACCCTTCTTTTCTCTCTCTTTCTCTCATCAAATCTAGAAAGGGAAGAGGAAGGCAGAAAGGGAGAGGGAGAAGAAGTAGGAGAAATTGAGTCCCTAATAGGGAAACATGGGAAGTAACGATACTCGCATACACCTGCACTGTTTGTTATTATCCTTGTTGTAAATACCTTCTGTGAATACCGTCTACAATAAAAAGACTGTCATGTTTTTCTCTATCCATTGCCACCTTTGCTTCATACTATACCTAAAGTCCATAAATGAACCCAGGCTGAAATGCAATTATGAAGCCTCTCAAATGTAATAAATGTCCAGCAAATCCAGAGGGAACAGTCTTTGAGTTCTGATCATCAGTATCAATCATATACAAAATGGAAGCTTTTATACATGATGTATAGATCTGGGATTTATAGAAATGTAGACTACCTTAGGAAAAATGAAACAATGGAAGGGAGTGAAAAAAAGCAGGCTAAGGGTATTCATTGTTGGTGGAATTCTGGCTGGCAAAGGGACGGGGCGGGTGGCAAGAGGAAAGGAATGAAGACAACACAAGTGAGTCACTAAAATCCTGAAAGGGAGATATTGTTCAGTTTGTTATTGGTAGTTTGTTAAAGTTGTCTTGGTTTATTTTAATTTTAGGTCCTGAGCGTAGAAGTGTAGAAATTGGCGATAAAAATAAAACAATCACAGCATATCATGAATCTGGGCATGCCATTATTGCATATTATACCAAAGATGCAATGCCAATCAATAAAGCCACAATTATGCCACGAGGACCAACACTTGGACATGTAAGATTTTTGAATAATAAAAAACACTGCCTACCTTATTGATTTTAATAGGGCTATGCAGGGCTTTAGATTTCAAAGGATTCATGAAGTATGTATCATTTTTCCTCCTTTGAATCTGATCTGGTTGTGTAGCTTTTTATTTAACAATTTTACAACTATCTGTTCTTAAGCAATTTCTTCATTCTACAATGATGCCAAAGACCAGAAAGATATTTTTTTCTAGTATGATATTCCTTAAAAGAACTGGGTTGCTTGGGCACTAAATCACATTATCTAAAGCATGATGATTTAAAGCTAAATGTGTTATGATCATAGTGATTTTTATTGGTAAGATTCAGGGAGAGCATTTCATTAGTTCTGATTGTTTCAAGATTGTTGCACATGAATTACCGTAGCACAATTTTGTATAACACTGCAGGACTATTAGATAGCAAGGTTGCAATGATGATAGTATTAACAAAGTCAACTTGCTGAAAGTTATTAATAACAGTAAAGAGTTGTATTATAAAGAATTATTTCTTATTGGGTTTATCTATTGTAATTACATTGATTATTTTGAAAACTGAAATGTTTTGTATATTTCTTTAAAGTTACAGTATTTTTTAATTCCTTTTCAGTAGTATGAATCTGTGTAAACACACTATCTGCCAGTCCCACTAGCAAATGTGCTGGATTTGATTCCTAGGGAATGGTGATGTAAGACAATAAGAGAGAATATTAGCAGTTGCTCATCTCATTTGATTTTGTGTGACAAAGCTTCATCTCAAACCATTTGATATACCAAGTACTCTTCAACATCTTCATCAACGATTTGGAGAAGGGATAGATGGGGAACTCATCAAATTTGCAGATGACACCAAGCTGGCTGGAATAGCCAACACTCCAGAACACAGGCTTAAGATACAGAAGGATCTGGACAGACTTGAACACTGGGCACTAACTAACAAAATGAAATTCAATGGTGAAAAAAGCAATGTTCTACATTTAGGCAAGAAAAACCAAATGCACAAGTACAGCATAGGTGGCACCATGCTCAATAGTAGTAACTGTGAGAGGGACCTCGGAGTCCTAGTAGACAATCACTTAAATATGAGCCAGCAGTGTGCTGCAGCTGCCAAAAAGGCCAACACAGTGCTAGGCTGCATTAACAGAGGGATAGAATCAAGATCACGTGAAGTATTAATACCACTCTTCAATGCCTTGGTAAGGCCACACTTGGAATACTGCATCCAGTTTTGGTCACCACGATGTAAAAAAGATGTTGAGACTCTAGAAAGAGTACAGAGAAGAGCAACAAAGATGATTAGGGGACTGGAGGCTAAAACATATAAGGAACGGTTGCTCGAATTGGGTATGTCTAGTTTAACAAAGAGAAGGACAAGGGGGGACATGATAGCAGTATTCCAATATCTCAGGGGCTGCCATAAAGAAGAGGGAATTAAGCTATTTTCCAAAGCACCTGAAGGCAGGACAAGAAGCAACGGGTGGAAACTAATCAAGGAGAGAAGCAACCTTGAACTAAGGAGAAACTTCCTGACAGTGAGAACAATTAATCAGTGGAACAGCTTGCCTCCAGAAGCAGTAAATGCTCCAACACTGGAAGTTTTTAAGAAGAGACTGGACAGTCATTTGTCCGAAATGGTGTAGGGTTTCCTGCCTGAGCAGGGGGTTGGATTAGATGACCTCCAAGGTCCCTTCCAGCTTTACTACTATTACTTACTATTACTATGACAGTGCAAATGTCTTTGTGATGTTTTTGGAGCCCTTCATGGATTTCTTATTTGCAAAATATGCTGTGAGAAAACAGCAGATTTTACAAACAAAAAAAGCCCACAGAGGACTCAAAAAATGTCAATGCACTTAGAATCCTTAAGCTTTATCACTTTAATAAGCAGAACAAATCATCTAGCAGCAATTAAACCTGATTTATTTCTTTTGCCCAACTTAATGCGTAATTTTGTATTAAAGGTTTCCTTGTTGCCAGAAAGTGACAGATGGAATGAAACTAGATCTCAGCTGCTTGCCCAGATGGATGTCAGTATGGGGGGAAGAGTAGCAGAAGAACTCATATTTGGCAGTGATCACATCACAACAGGTTAGTCAAAATTAAAGATGTGTACAAAATGGAGAAATGTATTTTGTTTCAAACTTGGATCATACAATTCTTTCTCTGAGATTATACAGTTAGTCTTCCACTTAACAACCGTTTGTTTAGTGACCATTCAAAGTTACAACAGCACTGAAAAAAATGACGTATGACCATTTTTCACACTTAAGACCGTTACATCATCCCTATTGTAATGTATCAAAATTTGTCTGCTTGGCAGCTGTCTCATATTTATGACTGTTGCAGTGTCCCGGGTCATGTGATCACCTTTTGCAACCTTCTGACAAGCAAAGTCAATGGGGAAGCCAGATTCACTTACCCACCATGTTACTAACTTAACATTTATTTATTCACTTAACAATTGTGGCAAGAAAGGTTATAAAATGGAGGAAACCTCACTTAATAAGTGTCTCACTTAGCAATGGAAAATTGGATCTTAACTGTGGTGGTAAGTCAAAGATACCTGTACAGAGTTTTTTCGGGTCAGTTACAGTTTTATCAAACAAGAACCCAGATCACTTTAGTTTTAGAGGCAACAGACAGAGTGACTAGGGCAAGGCTGGTATGCATCACTCCTGCTTTTCTCTCAGCAACTTCTGGTGTGACATATATCACTGTCCCAGTGATTTTCCTAATGCCTTCCCTTCCTCCTCTCAGCTGTTACCAGTGTCTCAGTTTGGTCGATCCCAACAGCTGTCTTCCTTCTTGCCTCCTTCAATATCACTAGCCCAGCACAATAGTATATTTACTCATTCTCTAATCTTCCCAGTATTTCACCTCCCTTCTTCATGGCCCCACTCCTGCATCCTTGTCTTTTCCTGCATTCTTTCTGAACAATTCTCCCTGGGACAACTGCATTTAGTTGTATGACCCATATTTAATTCCACTCATGGACTCAGGCACTTATAACAGAGATTTTAGTTCAAGTACAGACTACTCAAATACTTTGTGCATTCCTAGTCGAAACAATAACTTTTGTAATTCATTAACTTTATACTTTTTATAATTACCTAGGTTCTTCTAATGACTTTGAGAATGCTACCAGGATAGCACAACTCATGGTGACCAGATTTGGAATGAGTGACAGGGTACAATTTCATTTACTTTATAATAAATTTGCAATGAAATATTTTTATGTTGTAGATGTGCAGATATAGAGTGCATTCAGAAAGTATTCAGACTCCCATCATTTTTGTCAGTTTTATTATGCTATAGCCTGATTCTACAGCTGTTGAAATTTTTTCTCTCATTAACCTACACTCAGTACTCTATAATGACAAAGTGAAAACAGAATTTTAGAAATGTCTATAAATTTATTAAAAAGAATTTTTTTTACGTTGGCATAAGTATTCGGACCCTTCACTCAGTACTTTGCCAAAGGTGTTGAAGCACTTTTGGCAGCAATTACAGCCTTGAGTCTTTCTAGGTATGATGCAACAAGCTTTGCATATCTGGATTGGGGAATTTTCTGCCATTCTTCCTTGCAAATCCTCTCAAGCTCAGTCAGGTTGGATGGCGACCATCGGTGGACAGCCATTTTCAAGTCCCTCCAGAGATGTTCAATAGGTTTCAAGACAGGGCTCTGGCTGGATCACTCTAGGACATTCACAGGGTTGTCCCTAAGCCACTCCTTTGTCGTCTTGGCTGTGTGCTTAGGATTGTTGTCATTTGGAAAGTCTGAGGTCCTGAATGCTGTGGAACAGGTTTTCATTGAGGATATCCTTGTACTTTGCTCCATTCAACTTTCCCTCAACCCTGACCAGTTTCTGCTGCTGAAAAACACACCCACAGCATGATGCCACCACTATGCTTCACTGTGAGTTATCGGGCAGGTGATGAGTGGTGCCTGGTTTCCTCCAGACATAATGTTTAGAATTGAGGCCAAACAGTTCAATCTTGGTTTCATCAGACCAGAGAATCTTGTTCTTCACAGTTTGAGAGACCTTTGGATGCTTTGTTGCAAACTTCAAGCAGGCTTTCATGTGTTTTGCACTGAGGAGAGGCTTCTGTTTAGCCACTCTGCCATAAAGCCCAGATTGGTGAAGGGCTATAGTGATGGTTGTCCTTCTGAAACTCTGTCCCATCTCCACACAAGATCTCTCGAGCCCAGTCAGAGTGACTAGCAGGTTCTTGGTCATTTCTCTTACTAAGATCCTCCTCCCCCAATTGCTTTGTTTGACTGAAAAAAATATAGATTCAACAACTTATAAAAGTAATATATTAAATCATCTGATGCTCTTTTCTAAGATAGAGTTGTTAAGGAGCTAGCCTTATAGAGCTGTTTGCTAAATTTATCAACCTGGGTATCACATAAAGCTTAATGGCCTTTAATAGGATAGAGAATGTGTAGCCTAGATTATCAGCCTTGGTAATACCAAGCCATAGGCAGCTTTTCTACTAATTGTAACTGAAGATAGAAAGTTAGAGTGGGGTATGTTACCTGATTCAATTACTGCTTATCTTACTTCAAGATAACTCTGGGCTACTTACAATCATAAAAGATAAAAAAGATATAAACTGAAAATATAAATTACAAAATCCAAACACTACAGTCTAATTAAAAGATAGGGAGGAACAGGATGGGGGCAGATGGGATCTGTGGTTAATCAGTCAACTACATCCTCTGTGCAATTCTTGTCAGCAAAAGAGAAACATCTCACAGATACGCTCTTACACAAATATAGAACTGTAGTATTGGTGGGTTTTTTTTTGTTTAGATTCATGTCAGTTTTGAAATGATGAATTGCTCTCAAATTTGAACAAGACCCAGCAATCAGATTCTTCAGAACTCATGGTGATAAAATTATACTTCTTACAAGATGCTCGGTGATCAAATTATCTAACAATTATGCTGCATTTGACTTCTTTTCAAAATGCTAAATAAATAAGCATTTCCTTTTTCTCTCCAATCTCTTCCTTTTTCCATAAGCTTGGTGTTATGACCTATAGAGAGACAACAAATTTCAGCCCGGAAACCCAATCTGCAATTGAACAAGAAATAAGAGCTCTTTTAAAGGTAAAAATTTTAATTCTCTGATTCAAAAAAATGAATACTTTGTAGAGTCTTAATTTTCTGGAATGTATTAAGATGACTTACTATAAAAATAATTAGAGCTAAGGGTCTAAATAAGATAAGATAAAATAAGATAAGATAACCTTTATTGTCAATTTTATACCGTGGGCACAATGGCACACATCAAAAATGAAATTTAGTTGCCCACTCACAAGTGAAACACATACATGACACACACCTAAACATACTATGAACAACATATGTATAGACCCACATCCCTACATATATGTAGCAAATAAATGTTAAATATTGTCTATCTTGAATATATAACGGAAGGAGGAAACTTGAGAGTTTGCAAGGTTAATGCTGTATGGAATGAAACTCTGGCTGAATCTGGATGTTCTGCTTCGGATACCACAAAGCTTCCTCCCAGAAGATAACAAGGAAAACAGGTTGTGAAGAGGATGTGTAATGTCCCAGATAATCTTACGGACCCTACTCAAGCAGTGCTTCTGTGCTATAAATTTATAAATAATATCAGTAAAGTTGAGATTCTGTTTATGTAAGTTCAAAAACAACATAATAATTGAGCTTGCTTGTTTCTCTGCTAGTTTTTAAAATTATTTTTATGGATGTTTATACTTTTTATTCTATTCCTTGTATTTCTTGGTTTTGTTGAAATACACTTCAAAAGGACCTGATGTATTTGTATGAAGTGTATTTGAATAAGCTACAAATGTTTTTAGATTAATTATAAATCATGTTAGTGTTTAATCTTAGCTCTTTTTCTTCATTTCCAGTTTGTTGCTATCTTTCTTAACTTATCTTTTTGTGCTAGGACTCATATGAACGGGCAAAGAGTATTTTGAAGGCCCATGCAAAAGAACACAAGAATTTAGCAGAAGCGTTATTAACCTACGAGACCTTGGATGCCAAAGAAATTCAGATTGTTTTAGAAGGCAAAAAACTTGAAGTGAGATAACTTCTTTGTCAAGCTGTCTATCAGTCAAAGTAATAGCCACTTTATATTGGTGTAACTTTCTTTCCTGCTGGATGTATGTGTGCTAATAATCATATTTCTTAAAGATAAACAACTTGTCTTGTGAGCTTTTGTTCCCCTTACAAGTAGTCCTCGCTTACTGATTACAGTTGAGACCATCAACTCTTTTGCTAAGTGACACAGTTTCTTAGTGAAAAATCACATGACTATGCCAGATTTATGATGTCACTTCCATTTTTGGTTGCAAACCAATGTAGGAGACAAAAAGGCAGAGCTGGGAGGTGGAGTTAAACATGTCATCAGTTTAAAGTCCTTGCATTACCACAAGAGATCCAAGTCCAGCCCCTCTTGAATTCTGTTGATCCTTATCTAGCATTAATTTAGTGCTGATCATTAGTTGACCAGATTCTTGTATATAGGTTTGATTAAATCTTCTATGCTACAACTTTATAAATGATCCTGATTCTTTGGCCTAACATTAACTGCTTTTATTAAGCGAGACATTGTGTGATTGTGCATTGCAATTTCACTTCCATGTTCTCCATTAATTCTGCTAGTTAGAAGCCTGTTGTGAAGCTTGCAAATGGTGGTCATATGATCATGGGATACTGCAACAGTTGTAAATGCGAGGATTGCTTGCAAAGCTATTTTTTTTCCAGCTACTGTAACTTCAGGTTGTTAAACAAGGCAGTCAGTAAGCAAGAACTACCTATATTTAATTTTGTCTTTTCTTAGAAGCAAGGTTATAAAAGTAATATGTTAGTGGTTTGTCTGGTTTAGAAATCCTGAATACCGAAACAAAAGAGTGAATTGATATACTTTCATTGCTAGCTTGTTCGAATGGATAGAAAAGGAGCTGATAGCTACTAATCTTACTCTGCAAGTTGGGGCATTTGAAATTGCATACCATACAGTTATAGGAAAATAACCCTTCTGTTTTTAAACCAAAGTTTTATAAAGCCTTCATTCATAATTTATCATACAACATGAACTTAAGGGCAGGCACTATAGTAATAGTGCTCTATCTTCTAGTTGACCTTCATAAGTGAGACAAAGAGTTTGAACTTTAATGGACACAAAAATAATAGTGTTCATCTATTTTGGAGACAGAACTTAAGAGTGAGTGAGCGAGTGAGTTCACTTGACAGTAATATTTGTTACAACTGGAAAAATTGCATTGTCTCCTCTGAGGTAGTATTGGGGAAATGTTTTCAATTTTATGGAGGTGTGATTTTAGCACTTCTGTTAAACTTTTTAAATGGAGGATAGTTAATGGCAATTTGAGTCTCATTGTGTACTTGGCTGGCCCTTTTTAAAATAAAGTACAATTTTTGATTTCAAAATTTTTAATCTATTTTATAAGCATATGACATTCAGATATTAAATGATGATTAAGACGTTCTAAAAATTGAGATTAGGCTTGCATTGACTAGCAATTGAGAATAGCTAATAACAATTACACTGTTAACTATTTAATAGATGGATTTCCATAATTTTAAGTCCTACACTATAATTTTAAAAAAGGAAATAAAGTTCTATCAATGAGAAAATAAAACAAGTTTAACAAAGAAATGGATTTCAAATTTCAGTTTATAAGGCATTTTGGTGCCTTGTTGATAGTCCAATTTCATTTGAATTTGTAGATAATTCGTTTTCTTTCAGCAATCCCAATATTTCAATGGAACTCTTTTCTGCTTTTTCCATATAGTAAACTTGGAAGAACCTCAAGTTCATTTCATTATTGGAATTCCAAACTGCTATGCTGTTCCATTACAAATATATACTTTTTTAGCAATAAACTGTAAAAGATGTGCAAATGCAGCATGTTTAGTACATTTGGGAAATCATATATTTTAATTATGCAAAGTGCTTTTTAAAATTTTCCTCCTATTGTAAAACTGCTTTTATTCTGGTTGCCCTCATATGTAAATTGAGGTGTATAAAACATATTTTAAATCTGTAAATAAATTTGAGAGTTAAGCAAAATGTGTAATTTTTTAATAGCTTGAATTTCCATAAACTTTTTTTTGTGAGAATTTCTGCTACTTTGTTGCTGCTACTTTACCTAGTTCAAAACATAAATATGGAGACTTTACAATTTAAGACTGAATTGTTAAATACATTTCACATTGTCAGTATTTAGATTCTATGGAATCCTGTAACTTCTAATGCATTTTCTCTTTCACGAAACCTTGTTAAGTTTTGAGATGGTAAGAATAACTTGCTAGCAAGTTTCATATGTATGTTCCTGCGAAAGCAAAGAATTAAAATTGGATGGAATATTTTGCTTCAGATTTTGTTGCATATGCTATTCTCTACACACTATTTTTTATTTTATTTATTCATTAATTTTATATGGCCACCCCTATCATGAAAGACTGACCTTAGGCAGCATACTATAAAATATGCACATGTTTCACCATCAAGCAGCAGTTTGTAAGAAAAAATACTGAGAGCGACCAATGGAGATTGTCTCAGTGCCAAGATTTCTGAATACAAGCTGATAAAATCTTGGCTCATGACCATGGCTTAAAAGAAGAAAATGTGGATAATTCATCTGGCAATATTGGGATAGCAGAATAGAAGACACAGAATTGGAGAAGATCATAAAGTAACAAAATCTAAAAATTGAAAGATTATGGCATAAACCAGCCATCTAATCTAGTACAGCTAGTCCTTGATTTACGATCACAATTGGGCCAAAATGTCTGTTGCTAAATGAGACATTTGCTGAGTTTTGTCTCATTTATAACCTTGCCATATTTGTTAAGTGAATCAATACAGTTGTTAAGTTAATAACAGTTGTTAAGTGAATCTGGCTTCTCCATTGACACCGTCATTGTCATAAATATGAGTCAGTTGCCAAACGTCTGATTTTTTTATCGTGTGTCCATAGGGATGCCATAATAATTGTGAGTGTAAAAAATGATCATAAGTTACCTTTTAGTAATATTATAAGTTTGAATGGACACTAAATAAATTGTTGTGAGTCAAGGACTACCTTAGTCATCAGCACACTTGATGCCATACCAAAAAATCTTGGACAGTAGTTAGAAAATCTGTGCTTTGACAAGATTTATTTATTTATTTATTTATGAGACTTATATACCGCTTTAAGTGCAAGCACTCTCTAAGCGGTGTACACCAGTAAGCAATGTATATATATATATTTACATTGCCCCCAACAATCTGGGTCCTCATTTTACCTACCTCGGAAGAATGGAAGGCTGAGTCAACTTTGAGCCGGTGAGATTTGAACCGCTGACCTGCTGAACACAGTCAGCTAAAGTGACCTGCAGTACTGCACTCTAACTGCTGCGCCACCTCGGCTCCCATCTGTCATACAGAAAGCCATATGTCTTGGATCCTGTACATATATTAAACCAATATATTATGACATCCTAGGTTCTTGGGAAGAACTTGATGTGTATGAAGGCCAACATCAGCTAAAGAACTTAAAGGTCTAATTTCATATGCTTAATAAAACCTGGACCAGCTTACATTCCATGACAATATAATCAAGCAACAATATCTGCCTATCCAAGTACTTGGGAAGAACTGGATAAAAAATATAACTCATTGAAAATAAATGACATTAAAAAGGCACTTAAACCAAAACCAGTATAGTGCAGAATAGTGATACAGGGGGCTGAGTCACACGCAACACATTTATTTGGAATTTCTATCCTATTCCTTTCTTCAGGTAGCAAATACCACCTTCCAGCTTCTCTGATCTGTAAGAGGTAGAGGAGATTTATGTATTTAGCCAATTTATATGGCTACCCATCCAACCAAGAAAATCTGAGCAGCAAACAAAATAAAATAGAAAATGTAATTAAAATAAACAAACCTACTGGAATTGCTTTGAGACTCAATAAAAACAAAAAAGCTAGATATGTTCTTCAGTGCCAGAGCAACTTTGCTAACATCCTGGCTCCAATTTTTATCTATCTATCTATCTATCTATCTATCTATCTATCTATCTATCTATCATCTAACTTATTATTAAATTTATTTGCCACTCTTCTTGCCATGGAGGCTACTCTAAGCGGCTTATAATACTAGAATATAAGATTATTAAAAATGCAAATCTAATAATAGTATCACAATGAAACAATGAAAATAAATAATAAATAATTCAGCAGTATGAATTAAAGCAGGGGTCCTCAAAATTGACAATTGTAAGACTTGTGGACTTCAACTCCCAGAATTCCTCAGTCAGTTGCCAAGGTTGAGGACCCCTGAATTAAAAGATGGGCAGGGAGGCAACAGGATGTGCAGGGGGAAGGTGGGGTCTGCTATTACTCTAATAGCTACCTCAGTTGTGGTAGTTCATTGGGTCACCAGGCCTACCAGCAGAGCCAGATCTTCAAGCTCTTACAGAAGGAGGGTAGGAACAGCCCTCTCCCCAAGGAGCAGGATGTTCCAGAGGGATGGCACCATGGCAAAGAAGGCTCTTCTCCTGGCTCCTGCCAGCTGAAGTTCCTTGACCAATGGGATCTGCAGCAGGGTTTTCCTGTCCTCATGAGTAGAAAGGCCTGTCCTAGTGGGATTAGACAGTTCATCAAGTAGCCTAGACCTAAGCCACGGAGCGCTTTAAAGATTATAATCAATCTCTTGAATTATATCCAGAAGCAAACCGGCAGCCAGTGCAACATGTGGAGCAGCAGTACAACAATGGCCATTTCAGGGGCCCCAAAGATGGTTTGTACTGCTGCACTTTGCATCATTGCCTGTCAGCTGAACTGCTCTGTTTTACTGGGCAAATCTGATGCCGCCAGCGCTTTAGAGCGATAAAACACTTGAATGGTGTAGATGAGGCCAACTAAGAGGGCATGGTAGGAAAAAGAAGAGGTTTGAAAGCCTCTTTATACTGGGCTTAGAGAACAGCTGGTCTTTTCTTGGGGGTGAGCAAGCAGACTTCAAGCAAAACTCTGGTCTACATCCATCTCTTAATTGCTAATTTATAAAATTACATGGAAGGCAGGTAATATGGAAGTCACTAGCTAAACTAAAAATGGTGCTGTGAGCCACTTTGCTTAGCAGCATGCTGATTTCTCATTCATCTATATTTTTAAAGTACAGGTAGCTCTTGGTTAATGATGGTAATTTTTACAAAAATTTCCATTGTTAAATGGAATCACATTGTTTAATCACATGACTCTGTCACTTAAGAATGGCAATCACAGTACCCTGGTTGCCATCATTAAAGAAGGGTTGTGGGTTGTTAAGCAAGTCCAAGGTATCTTGCAGATAGGAAGGTAAGGCATGGAACAAAGTGCAGCACAACCACATCAGGACAAGAGTGACTGTTGTTACTGGGGAATAATGCACAAGGGCCTTGTGAAGTATAGCACGAGCACAAATAGGGCCAGGAAAAACTGCTGTTGAGAGAGGGGAGATATGAACAATTTATTGAAGTATCTTGCAGCTCTGGACTTTGCTTGTGAGAAGCTGACAAGGAAGGTTGCAAATGGTGATCATGTGACTGCAGGACACCGTAATAGTTTTAACTATGGGTTGGTTGCCATGCACCCAGATTGCAAATGTGCTGGGGGTGTTGTGATGGCCAGATTTTAGAGGGTTAGTTGTAAATACCACTTGTTCAGAGCTGTTTTAACTTTGAACAATTACTGAAAAAGTGGTTATTAAACGAGGACCACCTACAGAAATCCTGAACAAGATTCCTTTTCCCAAAAATATTTTTATTCAGTTAGTTGGCTTGGAAGTGAGAGTTGAAAAATGTTTCATTTTGTTTCATATTTCCTAGAAGTAGGAAACGATTTTAACAACCCAAAGAATCATGTGATGTTTACCTTCCAGTAGTAATGCAAAACTGGTATAACCAGAGACTCTACCTAAGCGGGTCTAGAATCACACTGAGTTTCCAGATAAAACAGTGGTTCAGAGTTAAGAATCACAGTTCTCTGACAGGGGATTTGCTTGCTTCTTTCTTAATAACTGAACCTGACGAAGCTTTTATGGGTTTTAAGATACCTAAATCTCAGGCAGGTCTGTTACTGTAGAAAAAGGGTGTTCAATATAGAAAGAATCAAGACAAGAATTGTGTAATCACAAAGAACAAGAACTTTTTCAATTTAATTATGAGTAATGCGGTATAATATGTGGATATATTATAAGCACCCTGCCCTCCCCATGTGTTTTTGCTTTTAATGTTTACTTTTAACTTTTTATATTTTGGCTTACGTGTAACTGTAAGCCAACCAGAGTTAACCTATGGTAAGATGGACAGCCAATAAATTTTATAACTGACTAACTAACTAACTAACTAACCAACCAACCAACTACCTAACTAACTAACTAAATACATAAATAAGTGCATAAATAAATACATAAATAAATAGACTGAATGCTCATGGATCCGAGGACTGGACAGCCAATAACTTTTATAGATAGATAGATAGATAGATAGATAGATAGATAGATAGATAGATAGATAGATAGATAGATAGATAGATAGATAGATAGATAGATAGATAGACTGAATGCTCTTGGGTTGAGGACTACCTATCCACAAAATATTTTACCTTTGTTGTAGTCTTGTCCTAGCTATGGAAGCCTTCACTATTCAATACCAGCTATATAACATACAGTGTTTGCTGTATGATAATTACTATCTGCTCCAATATGGGAAACAAATGACTTTGAATATATCTAGCTAACAATATATAAAAAAGAAAATATGATGCAAATTGATAAATACAAGAAGGATACTGAACCTGGCAAATGAACAAAGATGAATTTTAATAGTTTGATTTATGCTTACAGGTGAAACTCGAAAAATTAGAATATTGTGCAAAAGTTCATTTATTTCAGTAATGCAACTTAAAAGGTGAACCTAATATATGAGATAGACTCATCACATGCAAAGCAAGATAATTCAAGCCGTGATGTGTCATAAGTGAGATGATTATGGCTTACAGCTCATGAAAACCCCAAATCTACAATCTCAGAAAATTAGAATATTGTGAAAAGATTCAATATTCTAGGCTCAAAGTGTCCCACTCTAATCAGCTAATTAAGCCATAACACCTGCAAAGGGTTCCTGTGCTTGATTGGCTAGCAAACTCGCCTGACCTGAACCCCATAGAGAATCTATGGGGCACTGCCAAGAGAAAGATGAGAGACATGAGACCGAACAATGCAGAAGAGCTGAAGGCCACTATTGAAGCATCCTGGTCTTCCATAACACCTCAGCAGTGCCACAGGCTGATAACTTCCATGTCACGCCACACTGAGGCAATAATTGCTGCAGAAGGGGCTCAAACCAA